TTTAAAAACAAATTAAACTCAAATGGACATGTGATAAAGTTAAATATCTTGGAGTCGTCATACCAAATAAATTAGATAACCTTAACGAAACCAATTACTATACCCTTCACACATCGATAAAGCAAGACCTTATCAGATGGAACATGTTTCCCCTAACTATTTTTGAAAGAGTTAAAATTATAAAAATATATATTTTACCCCGCTATATCTTCCTTTTTCAGAACTTACCTCTCTCTTTGGACAGCCACATTCTCAAAGCATGGGAAGGACAACTCAGAAGTTTTGTTTGGGATGGGAAAAAACCCAGAGTGAAAATGAAAAACCTCCAAAGAAAGAGAGAGAAAGGGGGCTGAGCGCTTCCTGACCTGGCAAACTATTTCCTGGCATCACAAATGAAAACAATATTAGATTGGATAAATGAACAGAAAAACACACAATGGAAATCGATTGAGGGGAAAAAATATCAAACCACTCCGTGCTCTCCCCTTCACCAACTTTAAAACTAAAGAATACAAGAAGAGCTTCACAGTAAACAACTCACTGAGGATATGGAAAGAAATATGCAAGAAATGTAATGTGACAAAACAAGACACAATCCTTCTGTGAATAAACTAGTCACATTTCAACAACATAATCTCTTTAATACATGTTGTCAGCCCCTGGTTCAAAACTACAGGTTATCTGGACATCAGCACAAACAGACAAGTTTACAGACTACAGTCTAGTCTGGGTCAGCTAGATGTAGCGGCAGAGTGACAAAGAATGGACAAAGAGCTCTGGTCTTATACCATGATAATTTGAAACACATACAACAATATGTCCCACCTCCCTCTCCCTCAGAGAAGACGTGGCTTCCCTCTAAATAAACATGAGATCTACTGAAAACAGATGTTTTCGGCTTCCTGCTTATTGGTGTTTCACTCATGGGGGATGGGAGAATGCTGCTGATGCGTCCCATCACATCCCATCACACAGTAGGTTAACCCAACGCTGTCTAAACTTTGAATATATTCATTCACTTTAATGAAAATCCAACAACTCCACTATCACCTTCTCAGAGAAATAACTCAAGAGCCACAATTCAAGCCCAACCTCACAGAAAAAGGATTCAATACTTGGAAAATGAAAGGAATGCAAAGATACCACCAACTCTACAGCGACCAAGGAATTGACACATTTGAAAATATTGCAAGAACAAGTGTACAAGTGTTACGAGAGCTTAAAGGCAAACTACTCTCACATACGATCACCACATTGGCAAGAGTCAGCTCTGAAACCACATTTGAGGTTCTTCCAAACACCTAAAGCAATCTCAAAGTACACAAAGAACAAGAACATGGGAGATTGTCTTTCGTGCCAAAAATCCAAGACTCTGGACGGAGGTGAAAATAAATATTACCCAAGTACTTAGAAACATAAACCTACACGACGACAAAACATTATTACTGAATATTAACTCAGAGAATGAAGAGAAGAGAGGAATACCTTTTCTGGATAATGAGAATAACCGCCCTCAAACAAATCACCAAAAACTGGAGAACAACCAACAACCCCAAAATCCAAAACTGGATGGAAGCAATTCACGAGGTTCGTCTAACGGAGAAACTGTCACAAGATTAATAATGAGGAAGATGAATTCAGGAGAAAATGGCACACCTTCGACGATACATTTACTTAAGTGTTCCAATAACAATGAAAAATAATAAGGCATTTTATTTCAGCAATAACCATAAAACTAGACAGGGAGAAAGCTTACGAAGAGAAATATGAGAAAAATATTGTGTCTACAGGTGTGTGTGATTATATGTCTGTGTGTGTGTATGCACGTGTATATAAGTATGTAGGCGTGTATAAGTGGTTGTATACATGTGTGTATATATGTGTGTGTGTATGGGCATTTCTGTGTCTATGTAAATGTATATATAAATGTGAGAGAGAGAGACCAGAGAGAAGAGACCAGAGAGAGACCAGAGAGAGAGACCAGAGAGAGACCAGAGAGAGACCATTCATGACAGATTTAAACTTAATAATCAAAAACCACACTCTTGATGTTTACAGACATTTTTAATCCTGAGGTTACAGCCCAAACGACAGAATAATAATAATAATAATAATAATAATATATATTTTTATATTGTACCTTACATTTCCAGGAAACTTCAAAGTGCTACCAATTAAAATACAACACCACAAAAAAGTATCAGAAGTATTTAAATACATCCAAAAGAAACATGAAGGGGTTAAAAGTTCATAAAATCACTAAAAGGCCTGATTAAAAAGGAAGGATTTTAGACCTGGTTTAAAGCCCTCCAGAGTCTATGGGAGGGCGTTCCAGAGACCTGGACCTGGACCTGGACCTGGACCTGGACCTGGACCTGGCCCTGGCCCTGGACCTGGACCTGGACCTGGACCTGGCCCAGTTTAGACCTGGGCTGGTGTGGGGCAATGAAAAAACAATAAAACAGAGAAGAGAAAGATTTGCTTTGACTCTTCAAACACAGACTTGGAGAACAGGACCGACACCTCTGGGACCAGGATGGACATCATGTAACAAATGCATTTTAGTAAATTATATGAAGAAAACCCCTGAACCTCAACCCAACCTTTACAGGGAAACTAAACTAAAACCACACAAGCTCAGACAGAAACATGATTTATCTAAGTTCATGTGTTTGTCTTCAGTTAAAGAGAGTATTCTTTAGCTTTAGGCCTGAGAGAGACCTGAGGAGGAAAGGTTTGCAGAAGTCTGTGCCAAACAGCAGAATATCAATATTTCACTCATTTACTGATCATAAGATTTCAAACATAAGAATGAAGACATAATGTTAGTTTTGTTGTGTTTTATATAAAACACGTGGACCAGACCCCGGCTGCTCCCTCTTAATCGTTTAATTCATGTCGTTTACAGATCAACAATTTTGTGGGGTTTTGCTGTTGTGATTGTGATTGTGGAAATAATGCATGAACTGCTCTAGTCACAGCAGAAGCCAAAGGTTCTATGTAAATATCAAACAGCAGAGGACTGAGAGGACAGCCCTGTCTGAGGCCTCTCTGCAGAGGGAAAGAGTCTGAGATGATGATGTCATTGGTCCAAACACGAGCTTCAGGATCAGAGTAAATGAGTTTTATCCAGTTCCTAAAGTTCTGTCCAAATCCATACTCCTCCATAGTTTTGTACAGTTCTGTCCTGTCCACTTTCTCCAAACAGTGTTCTGTTGGAATCACATATGCACCTTTATTTACAAGTGAACGTAGGTCACACTTAGCTACGTTTTCAACTTTAATCAGATTCCTTGTTAAAGTTGGGAGGACTGGTTCTAACCTGTTTGCCAAGACTGTGGTTATAATCATTACCTCTATTTCCATTTTATGCAGAAGGCGATAACTGGATGGATCTGTTGGGTCTTTGCTCGGCTCTAATTGTACTTCTATAAGTGTTTCTCTCATGTAGTCTGGTAATGTTTTCTTATCTTTCAGTTCTTCGAGCAGTTCCATAAATACTGGGGACAGGATGGGCCATAAATGTTCATAATATTTGGCTTCACTTTTATATATGCTGTTTTTCAACTGTTTCAGAGCGTTACTGACTTCTGTCTCAGTGAAAGGTTTCTCTAAAGCTGCAGACTTCTCTGGAGAGAGTTTTGGTAGATTTTCCCTGAGGATTTCAGCATTTTGTTCAGTAGAATAAAGTTTTTCATAAAACGACTGAAATGTTTGGTTTCTTTCCATGGGATCTTGAGTCGTTTCACTGTGTTTTTCAATTTTATTACAGTTTAACGTCACCAAATGATTCATCATGCTTATGTATTTCATTTCTTAGTATTTCCCACAAATCTGATTTGTTTGTCTCTGGATTTCTCGTCACAATGGATTTCAACTCCTCCTCTAACTGTGGGAGGAACGGATCATTATGAGGTGACAAAAGTTTATAATATTCACAATAATTTGAAAGGTTCTTAGTATCCAGTGTTAGAATGACTGGATGATGGTCACTGATATAAGACAAACAGATCAATGGATCATGTTTGCAGGTTTTACACTTACAGGTCATCGTACGATGCTCACGGACATTACACTCACAGATCAATGGATGATGCTCACGGACGTTACACTGTCGGATCAATGGATGATGCTCACGGATATTACACTTAGAGTTGAATGGATCATACTCACAGATCAATGGATAATGCTCCTTGACCGTACACTTACAGATCGCTAGATGTTGGTTCTTGTCATCACACTTACAGATAAATGCACGATGGTGATGCTTATTATACTTACACTTAGCTGGAGAATGTTTACTGATGTCACACTTACAGATCTCAGTCCCTGTGTCTGTGTCTGTGTCTGTGACTGTGACTGTGTCTGTGTCTGTGTCTGTGTCTGTGTCTGTCAACAGTGATTTGTGAATGAGAAAGTAGTCGATCCTGGAGTAAGTCTTATGGCATGCAGACTGATGTGTGTAATCTCTAATGTCAGAGTGTTTCTTCCTCCAGCTGTCACAGAGGTTGTACTCATCCATGTATTTTTTAATCATGTCTGAAACCTTTTCCTGTTTTTCCTCTCCAGTTGTACGATCGACTGATGGATCTAGGACCACATTAAAATCTCCTCCTATGATCACGTTTTCTGAATATTTCAAAGCCTCAAAGACTTCCTCAAAGGATTCGTTATATTTTGGTATTCGGTAAATATTCACTAATGTTATTGTTTTCTTGTCATACAAACCTCTGAGGAGGTAGCTTCCTTTGTAAGAACTTGTTTCTTCTACTTTAAATGTAGGTGTTATAAGGGTGTCTTTAATGAGAATGGCAACTCTGTGATCCATACTGGGAGGTGAAACATACTCTGTGTAATTTTCAAATCCAATCTTCTGGTCGTTCTTCCTCTTGATATCCTGAAGGAAACAAATGTCTGCCTTCACATCATCCAGGTATTTTTTAACCTGATCTAACTTATTCCCTAAACCGTTTACATTCCAAGTTACAATCGTTAATCGATCAGAAGATGAACTCGTGTCCATCGCTGCAGAAAAGTCTGGAACACACAGAAATGTAACTTATTTAACAATCAATCTTTATTTAAAAATCCCTTTACAACAGTTTCCAAAGTGCTTTAGAATAAAACCAATGCATAAAACATCTAAAGACGATAAAATGAATACAGATAGAATTCACTGAAGTCGTTTCTAAAACAAAAGTCTGTCTGCAGGAGTGTGTTTTGAATCTAGTTTTAAATCAGTGGTTTTTAACGAGAGACTCCTGTGCTTTTCTCACCTTAGTTACCTTATGAGTTCATTACAGCTTAAACATGAATTGATCGTAATTAGTCGCATTTCAAACTATCTGCAAAATGATGCTATATTTTTCTGTAAATGTTTTTTTGAATGGAAAGATAATTGTCAACATAGTGTATGTACAGTATTTGTTTATTATAACAACAATAAATCCACATAAAATGGCTTTAACATTATTACATTCTGTCTTTCTGTAGTAGACAAATAAATTCCCACCGTAAACCGGGTCTAGAGCAGACCGTTGGATGTGGTCCGCTGTGGGAAACTGTGTCTTTAAAATGGCCCAGGATTCCCAGTGAGTAGGATTATGATGGGGACACTCACCTCTGAGGGTTTCTCACTGATCTGGGGTCAGCTCTGGGTCTGGTGGAGTCTCTCAGTCCAAAAGCAGAAGTCTGTTCAAGTACAACAAAGACAAGAGTCTAAAGTCTCCAAAAACATGATCAACATTTCTAAACTTCTGTGAATTGTGCTGTTGTTCATTTGATAATGAAGTCAAAGTCACTGACGTACGGTGAAGTCTTTAAAAGTTAGATTTACAAACCTCGACAGTCCGGTCTCCCAGTTTGACTTCTTTCTTTGATTGAAAATCCAGTTCAGAAAAAAATCAAACTTCAGGCTCAAGGCAAGATTTTTCCTTTTGTATTTCTGTCTGATCAAAAGACAAATGTTTTCAAAGCAGGATATTTGAAACAAACGGTGAAATGAGAACCATCACGAGCTGAGGGCAGTCGCACAGTCCAGTGAGACCGAGCGACCAGGGCGAGTTATAAACGCTGCTGCACCTCGTCTCGGTCGACAGGAAAAACTGGATTTCAGCTATTTTGATTACTGCCATGATCAAAACTGGGCGGAACCATAACAAAAATACATTCCAAGCAAAAGACAGTGGAAAACAATGAATGTGTGTAGATGGACGTGTGTAGACGTGTGTAGATGGACGTGTGTAGACGTGTGTAGATGGACGTGTGTAGATGGACGTGTGTAGATGGACGTGTGTAGATGGACGTGTGTAGATGGACGTGTGTAGATGGACGTGTGTAGATGGACGTGTGTAGACGTGTGTAGATGGACGTGTGTAGATGGACGTGTGTAGACGTGTGTAGATGGACGTGTGTAGATGGACGTGTGTAGACGTGTGTAGATGGACGTGTGTAGAAGTGTGTAGATGGACGTGTGTAGATGGACGTGTGTAGACGTGTGTAGATGGACGTGTGTAGATGGACGTGTGTAGATGGAGTGAGGAGGTCTGAGTCTGTGGATGCACACTCCACTCGGAAAGGCCTTGTTCCGACTGGGATTCGAACCCAGGAGCTTCTTGCTGAGAAGTGAGAGTATTAACCACTCGGCCAACGTGCCGTCCAGTGCAAGTGGAGTCCATGATGAGGCCAAGGGGAACCATTTATGATGAAGAGGAGCCGAGTACCAAACCTTGGGGAAGGTATTGTTGGACATGGGCGATGATGGAACTTTCTTGGAATGTTGTCCGGAGAGAGAGATTTGAGATGGGACGGAAGTTGAAGGGGTCCAGGTTGGGTTTTCTGTGGAGCGGCTTGATAGTGGCATTTTGAGATTGGGAGGGACAGTACCGGTGGTGAGAGAGGAGTTTATGACGTTTATGATGAGTGGGGTCAGAGAGGTCAGAGGTCAGAGGCAGGCTTCCAGGAGAGGGGTTGGAGTGGGGTCCGGGAGGCAGATGCTGAGTTTCATGTTGGAAAGGAACATGGCAGTGTTGTTGTTGAGAGCAGAGAGAAAGAGGAAAGGCTGTGATCTCTGAGCAGACAGAGGGCTGGGTTTAAATGGAGAGATGTTGAGAGTCAGCGGAGTTGGAATTGAGCAGAGTCATGTGACTGATGCGCAGATGACGCATGTGGAAGTTTCCAAGATGGCGCGTGTTGTGATCGGACCAGAGCGAATGCCAGTTTCAGTGGAGGATTGAAGGATGTATTTGCGACGGGAGGTTCTGTGATTGAAGGGCTGATGTTGGAGAAGGCAGAGCTGCTTTATTGTGCTGATCATGTCCAGTGTTGGAGGAGTGCGAAGGTTAAAACTGAGGAGCTGCGAGGCTGTGGGAGCCATGGTCAGAGACGTGGAGATCACTGATGGTATATTTTTATTATATCATATATATTATTATAGATCCACACCAAAGACGTTCGGAAAACGGTTGCAGATCAGTTTGAACAGTAAAGATACCATGTAAGATAACACCAGCGTCCTCTCACAACCCGGTAAATGTTATTCTGTGTTTACAACAACACGACAAATGGGGAGACTGTGTCTTTAAAATGGCCCAGGATTCCCAGTGAGTAGGATTATGATGGGGACACTCACCTCTGAGGGTTTCTCACTGATCTGGGGTCAGCTCTGGGTCTGGTGGAGTCTCTCAGTCCAAAAGCAGAAGTCTGTTCAAGTACAACAAAGACAAGAGTCTAAAGTCTCCAAAAACATGATCAACATTTCTAAACTTCTGTGAATTGTGCTGTTGTTCATTTGATAATGAAGTCAAAGTCACTGACGTACGGTGAAGTCTTTAAAAGTTAGATTTACAAACCTCGACAGTCCGGTCTCCCAGTTTGACTTCTTTCTTTGATTGAAAATCCAGTTCAGAAAAAAATCAAACTTCAGGCTCAAAGCAAGATTTTTCCTTTTGTATTTCTGTCTGATCAAAAGACAAATGTTTTCAAAGCAGGATATTTGAAACAAACGGTGAAATGAGAACCATCACGAGCTGAGGGCAGTCGCACAGTCCAGTGAGACCGAGCGACCAGGGCGAGTTATAAACGCTGCTGAACCTCGTCTCGGTCAACAGGAAAAACTGGATTTCAGCTATTTTGATTACTGCCATGATCCAAACTGGGCGGAACCAATGCCAAAAATACATTCCAAACAAAAGACAGTGGAAAACAATAATTCTTGTGGTGGACTTGAACTCCCAACCTTCACGCCCTAAGGCCAATGCTCTACCAACTGAGCCACTGTCGCCTCGGGAAAACAATAACTAAAATATTAAAATGTTGTTTTGTTTACTATGGCAGGTGAGGCTCTGATTATCCCTGCCTCCCCTGACTGCACATCCTAATAATAATATTAATAATAATAATCTATCGTAGCAGATCTAGTTCACTGAATCCAACAGTGATATATCTGTATCCATACATAGTGTCTAAAGCAGACCTGGAGATTCTTATCCATGCATTTGTCTCCAGTAGGTTAGACTACTGCAATGGCCTGCTCACAGGTCTGTCCAAACAGGCTGTAAAACAGCTGCAGTACATTCAAAATGCAGCAGCTCGAGTCCTGACTAGAACCAGGAAGTACGACCATATTAGTCCGGTCCTCAGGTCTCTGCACTGGCTTCCTGTGGCTCAGAGAATAGACTTTAAAACAGCTCTGCTTGTGTACAAGTCTCTCCATGGCCTCGCACCAAAATATATTAGTGACATGTTAGTCCCATATGAACCAGCCCGGACTCTGAGGAGCACAGGGACTGGACTCCTGTTAGTGCCCAGAGTCAGAACTAAACATGGGGAGGCTGCTTTTCAGATTCATGCTGCTAAAATCTGGAACAATCTTCCTGAAGATGTGAGACAGGCCTCCTCTCTGACAATGTTTAAAACCAGGTTAAAAACGGTGCTGTTTAGCTGTGCATACAACTGAGGGATTTTATATTTTTATCTTTCGTTTTAATGTTCTGTAATTATTTATGATTTTAATGCTATCTTGTTCAGCACTTTGAGTTGCCTTGTGTATGAATTGTGCTATACAAATAAACTTGCCTTGCCTTGCCTTGCCTTGCCTTGCCTTGCCTTGCCTTGCCTTGCCTATCCACGATGGCGCCTCGTACGGTCGCCACAGCTTTTCGCTGCTCTCTTTTTCTTTTGTTTTTACTTTTTAACCGTGCATCTGGCTGTTCCTACACCCGTGAGGAACTTATGAACATCCGACCCACCGTTCCCATGGACCTATTGCCTGTTTTCTTGGCATCTGCGGCTGATTTAGTCCATGTTCTAGCCAAAAAAGTGTGGGCCCGTAAAAGGGGAAAGCGCGGAGGCCTGATGTGTCTGAGGAGAAGAGGAGCCTCTCCCCGGCATTTTTCTGTCCAACGACCTGGTGTCCTCTGTGTCCTCTGCTTCACTGAGACCTGGTGTCCTCTGTGTCCTCTGCTTCACTGAGACCTGGTGTCCTCTGTGTCCTCTGCTTCACTGAGACCTGGTGTCCTCTGTGTCCTCTGCTTCACTGAGACCTGGTGTCCTCTGTGTCCTCTGCTTCACTGAGACCTGGTGTCCTCTGTGTCCTCCATTGTGCGCTCTCAGGGAAGAGCAGAGGCGGTGGGCTGTGTTTCTACGTCAATACAAACTGGTGTAACGATGTGACAGTGATCTCCAAGCACTGCTCTCCTGCTCTGGAATATCTTTCATTCATTGTAAACCATTTTACTCCCCTCGTGAAATTGTTTCATTCATTCTTGCCTCTGTTTACATACCGCCATGCGCGGACGTGCACTCGCAGAGCAAGTATTGTGTATGGAACGTTTATACCCGGACTCTCTGATTATTATCCTGGGGGATTTTAATAAGGGAAACTTATTAAAATCGGGTTAATAACTGGACCTACGCCAGGGTCCTGTTCGTGGACTTCAGCTCTGCCTTCAACACAATCCTGCCATCCCTGCTCCAGGACAAGCTCTCCCAGCTCAACGTGCCCGATTCCACCTGCAGGTGGATCACTGACTTCCTGACGGACAGGAAGCAGCGAGTGCGTCTGGGGAAGAATGTCTCGGACTCTCGGATTATAAATACAGGAGCCCCACAGGGCTGTGTTCTTTCTCCCCTGCTCTTCTCCCTGTACACCAACCACTGCACCTCCAGCCACGACTCCGTGAAGCTGATCAAGTTCGCGGACGACACCACCCTCATTGGACTCATCTCCAACAACGATGAGTCCGCCTACAGGAGGGAGGTGGACCGGCTGGTGTCCTGGTGTCTCCTACAGGAGGGAGGTGGACCGGCTGGTGTCCTGGTGTCTCCTACAGGAGGGAGGTGGACCGGCTGGTGTCCTGGTGTCTCCTACAGGAGGAGGTGGACCGGCTGGTGTCCTGGTGTCTCCTACAGGAGGGAGGTGGACCGGCTGGTGTCCTGGTGTCTCCTACAGGAGGGAGGTGGACCGGCTGGTGTCCTGGTGTCTCCTACAGGAGGGAGGTGGACCGGCTGGTGTCCTGGTGTCTCCTACAGGAGGAGGTGGACCGGCTGGTGTCCTGGTGTCTCCTACAGGAGGGAGGTGGACCGGCTGGTGTCCTGGTGTCTCCTACAGGAGGGAGGTGGACCGGCTGGTGTCCTGGTGCAGTGGTAACAACCTGGAGCTGAACGCCCAGAAGACAGTGGAGATGATTGTGGACTTCAGGAAGAGCACTGTCCCCCCGCCCCCACCCTCCGTGATGGACTCCCCCATCACCTCTGTGGAGTCCTTCCGTTTCCTGGGCACCACCATCACCAGGACCTCAAGTGGGAGCCGACCATCAGCTCCTCATCAAGAAGGCCCAGCAGAGGATGTACTTCCTGCGGCAGCTCAGGAAAGCCAAGCTGCAGTTCTACACGGCCATCATCGAGTCCATCCTCACCTCCTCCATCACCTCCTCCATCACCTCCTCCATCACCTCCTGCATCACCTCCTCCATCACCTCCTCCATCACCTCCTCCATCACCTCCTCCATCACCTCCTCCATCACCTCCTCCCTCACCTCCTCATCACCTCCTCCATCACCTCCTCCATCACCTCCTCCATCACCTCCTCCATCACCTCCTCATCACCTCCTCCATCACCTCCTCCATCACCTCCTCCATCACCTCCTCCATCACCTCCTCCATCCCCTCCTCCATCACCTCCTCCATCACCTCCTCCATCACCTCCTCCATCACCTCCTCATCACCTCCTCCATCACCTCCTCATCACCTCCTCCATCACCTCCTCCATCACCTCCTCATCACCTCCTCCATCACCTCCTCCATCACCTCCTCCATCACCTCCTCCATCCCCTCCTCCATCACCTCCTCCATCACCTCCTCATCACCTCCTCCATCACCTCCTCCATCACCTTCTCCATCACCTCCTCCTTCACCTCCTCCATCACCTCCTGCATCACCTCCTCCATCACCGTGTGGTTCGCTGGTGCAGATGGACGTGTGTAGATGGACGTGTGTAGATGGACGTGTGTAGATGGACGTGTGTAGATGGACGTGTGTAGATGTGTGTAGATGGACGTGTGTAGATGTGTGTAGATGGACGTGTGTAGATGGACGTGTGTAGATGGACGTGTGTAGATGGACGTGTGTAGATGGACGTGTGTAGATGAATGTGTGTAGATGAATGTGTGTAGATGGACGTGTGTAGATGGACGTGTGTAGATGTGTGTAGATGGACGTGTGTAGATGGACGTGTGTAGATGGACGTGTGTAGATGGACGTGTGTAGATGGACGTGTGTAGATGGACGTGTGTAGATGGACGTGTGTAGATGTGTGTAGATGTGTGTAGATGGACGTGTGTAGATGGACGTGTGTAGATGAATGTGTGTAGATGGACGTGTGTAGATGGACGTGTGTAGATGTGTGTAGATGGACGTGTGTAGATGTGTGTAGATGGACGTGTGTAGATGGATGTGTGTAGATGGACGTGTGTAGATGGACGTGTGTAGATGGATGTGTGTAGATGGACGTGTGTAGATGGACGTGTGTAGATGTGTGTAGATGGACGTGTGTAGATGTGTGTAGATGGACGTGTGTAGATGTGTGTAGATGGACGTGTGTAGATGGACGTGTGTAGATGAATGTGTGTAGATGGACGTGTGTAGATGGACGTGTGTAGATGGACGTGTGTAGATGGACGTGTGTAGATGGACGTGTGTAGATGGACGTGTGTAGATGTGTGTAGATGGACGTGTGTAGACGGACGTGTGTAGATGTGTGTAGATGAGCGTGTGTAGACGTGTGTAGACGTGTGTAGATGAACGTGTGTAGATGGACGTGTGTAGATGGACGTGTGTAGATGTGTGTAGATGGACGTGTGTAGACAGACGTGTGTAGACGGACGTGTGTAGATGGACGTGTGTAGATGGACGTGTGTAGACAGACGTGTGTAGACGGACGTGTGTAGTTGGACGTGTGTAGTTGGACGTGTGTAGATGGACGTGTGTAGTTGGACGTGTGTAGTTGGACGTGTGTAGATGGACGTGTGTAGACGGACGTGTGTAGACGGACGTGTGTAGATGTGTGTAGATGGACGTGTGTAGATGGACGTGTGTAGATGATGCACCGCTGTATGATACACAGCTGTATGATACACAGCTGTATGATACACAGTTGTATGATACACAGCTGTATGATACACAGCTGTATGATACACAGCTGTATGATACACAGCTGTATGATACACAGTTGTATGATACACAGCTGTATGATACACAGCTGTATGATACACAGCTGTATGATACACAGCTGTATGATACACAGTTGTATGATACACAGCTGTATGATACACAGCTGTATGATACACAGCTGTATGATGCACAGCTGTATGATACACAGCTGTATGATACACAGCTGTATGATACACAGCTGTATGATACACAGCTGTATGATACACAGCTGTATGATGCACAGCTGTATGATACACAGCTGTATGATACACAGCTGTATGATACACAGCTGTATGATACACAGCTGTATGATACACAGCTGTATGATGCACAGCTGTATGATGCACAGCTGTATGATGCACAGCTGTATGATGCACAGCTGTATGATGCACAGCTGTATGATACACAGCTGTACGATGCACAGCTGTATGATACACAGCTGTATGATGCACAGCTGTATGATGCCCAGATGCCGCAACACACTTGTAAGTAACGCTGTGTATCGTCAATGACGTGTGTAGACGGACGTGTGTAGATGTGTGTAGACGGACGTGTGTAGATGGACGTGTGTAGATGGAGGTGTGTAGATGGACGTGTGTAGACGGACGTGTGTAGATGGACGTGTGTAGATGGACGTGTGTAGATGTGTGTAGATGGACGTGTGTAGATGGACGTGTGTAGATGGACGTGTGTAGATGGACGTGTGTAGATGTGTGTAGATGGACGTGTGCAGACGGACGTGTGTAGATGGACGTGTGTAGATGTGTGTAGATGGATGTGTGCAGACGGACGTGTGTAGATGGACTCACCTGTTCGTTTGTGTTCTCTCTCACTCAATACAAAACATTCATGCATTATTTCATTTTCAACTCCTTAATTATTATTAGTAAAATTCTGGTCGGGCCGGGGGGGGGGGGGGGCAGTGAGAGCTGCAGCCAATGCTCATAGCACCAGTCCCTCTGATCCACTGCAGGGGGGGTCCACAGGAAGATGGCTGCTACATCAGTGGTGCCACAGACTTGGTGTTTCAGCAGGAGCTTCAGGCAATATGGGGTTAATTAATATGATTACATATGATACATGATAGTAATGGATTTGTATAAATGGTCATTATAGTATTGTAGTTTTTATTGTCCTTGGCAAAAATCCAGGGATTCTGTTGTGGATTTTTTAAGGATTGAAATACACAATAATTAAATATAAAATAAACAACAAAGAGCTGTAAACAATCAAAGTGTGGTTTATTATCTCAGTAAATGTACATATACAGGAAATACACCCGTCACGGCGTGAGCAGCTCTCAGTAGATCTGCTGACTAGTGCTCACTCTCTCATATTTATAGGATGGAACAAACAGAAGAGTCTATGGCGTCTCTGAGTCCGAGATTAAGTGGTAACAGCCTCAAACCCCCCTCTCTTCTGACGTCTTACTCTGATACGACTGATATTACTCTGATATTAGGAAGAAAGGTCAGTATAACCGGTGACCACGCTCCTCTTGCCCAGATATCAAGCTAGTAGCTGCCTCCACCCCGTCGTTGGCCTCGCGTCTCTACCATAGACTGTATATATTAATGGACAGAGTCACGCCTATCTCCGCCGTTCTAACTAATGGGCCAAAAAATGTGCTCTGCTGGAGCTATCCAAAATGGCCGCGAGTGGTCCCGCCCACAAGAAAATTGTGAAAAAATACATCTGCACATGCGTCAGCCGGCGTAACTCCATTCATTTGAACGAGAGACTTCAAAGATTCACAGCGACTAAACTAGACTGGTCCAGAACACTCAGCATTGACACACATGTGGAACGGAGCTTTGGGCCAAGAGACACTGGACCATCCTGTAAAGACGTTTTGAGAGGTCTGCTAATGCTATATGTTAGCATTGGCTAATTCTACTTCTGGGTCCACCCCCACAGGCCCGGGGTGGTATTGCAAGCATGTCAGCGCACGTCATTTTGGCCACTTTTGAGCTGGGACCCTCCCCCACTGGTCTCTACAGAACAACAGATAAGTAAATAAGTAAGTAAGTAAGCTTTTATTTATATACCGCCTTTTCACTGCACATCGGAGTCTCAAAGCGGTTTACAATTGTTGGGTGGGGTCGCCAGTACAGGAGGCACATGCCAGAACTATTGTACATATTTTTAGTGGTAGGGGAAACCGGAGCACCCGGAGGAAACCTACGCAGACACAGGGAGAACATGCAAACTCCACTCAGAAAGGCCCTGGTCCGACCGGAATTCGAACCCAGGACCTTCTTGCTGAGAGGCGAGAGTGCTATCCACTCAGCCACCGTGCCGCCCGGTTTAGATTAGTCAGCTTGAACAGATTGATTAGCTTGAACGTTGTCCCAGATATCCTAATTCATTCTTAAATTAAAATGATTTATAATCCCAGTTAGATTTCTACAACAGTACTACCTCAAAAGAATGGGACCATAGAATGGAAAGAAAGTGTAAACATAATATATTTGTTCTAGCTCAAGTTTTCACGCCCAAAATTCCTACTGAAATAATTTTCTATGTATGTGCAGTGGCATGCATATGTATTTCTTAGCAATATTTAGATCTATAAATGCATTACATTTTTCAGTACTTATTATTTATTTCAATTCATAGTATTTATTTGCGATATCAAATTACGATACATAAAATCAGTTTATTGTAGTTTTTCCAGTTTAGGGCCAAATTTGAATGTAATTGTTTTTCATAATAATTTTGGCTATTGATTATATTCCTCAATAATCATAATATTCGAGAAATACAATATTTTGGGTGTGATCTCTATGGCCAAGTAAGTTGGTTTGGATGAAATAGGTAGTTCTGCAATTAGAAACCTCCAAACATGGTACATCAGACTAAAATGTCCAAATTTCGATCAAAGAAAAAAACTGCGAAGCACTGCCTTAGTGGAGATTTCAAAGTCATAGTTATTTGCACATACAGAAGAATGAGAGGAGACTCAAGTTATGCACATATCAAACAGGATCTATTATTTAAGATAACAGATCATGAAATAATAAAATCATTAATTCTGGAGGTATAAATTGCACTTGGGTCTAAATTAGTGATAGAACCGAACTTTGATTTCAAGGTTTTGGACAAGATTTGATATTTTCCGGAATCTCCCGAAGCTCCTCTCGCTCCTCTCGGCCTTTTCCGAAATCTCCCGAAGCTTCTCTCGCTCCTCTCGGCCTTTTCCGGAATGTCCCGAAGCTTATCTCGCTCCTCTCGGCCTTTTCCGGAATCTCCCGAAGCTTCTCTCGCTCCTCTCGGCCTTTTCCGGAATGTCCCGAAGCTTCTCTCGTTCCTCTCGGCCTTTTCCGGAATCTCCCGAAGCTCCTCTCGCTCGTCTCGGTATTTTCCGGAATCTCCCGAAGCTTCTCTCGCTCCTCTCGGCCTTTTCCGGAATGTCCCGAAGCTTCTCTCGCTGCACTCGGCATTTTCCGGAAACCCTTGAGACTGTTTCAGATCTTCCCCGTTTCCAGGCCTCGCTCTGCTCCTTACAGTCGGTTGTGTCCTGGACAGGTCCGCACAGGTGGGTCCTCTGTCCGCTCGTCCACACGTGTATCACAGGTTTATGAGACATTTTAGGACCGGTTTGTGGCTGTGACCTCCGTGACAGCGGGAGACGGACCCGAGCCTTCATTGTGCAGAGTAATCTCTCTGTTTGTGTTTTTATGGAAACCCAACAACAACAAACTTATAAAGTAGTTTAAACAATGTAAGTGTCGTGTCCTGTCTTTATGACCACCGCAACACTTATATAATCAACACATATTGTTTATATCAGGTGTGTGTTTACTTGTTAGCTGTTAGCTTCCTGTTAGCTTTGTTAGCTTAGCATTCTTCACATGTTTATTACTGCGGTTGTCACGATTTGCTGCTTTTTCATAAGAACCTTTTTCAGATTTTCTCAGGAACAAACTGTGCTGTGACTGTTGTTAGTTTCTCCAGAACTGCGTGTGTTCATCCAAACAGGTTTATCTCCCGTTAGCATTAGCATTAGCATTAGCATCCAGGGAGCTAGCAATGCCTCGTTCTGTTTACAGCCTCACCTTATGGCCCTTGTTTTTCAGAAAATGCCCACTATTAAACTACAGAGTTCTGATGGGGAGATTTTTGAGGTGGACGTGGAAATAGCCAAACAATCTGTTACTATCAAAACCATGTTAGAAGGTAAGACCATCAATATCTTTATAGTTTACGTAACATTGTTGTGTGTGGCCCAGTCATGGCTCATGGCAACACATTTGGAAAGTGGCAGCAGACATGAATATATATATATATGTATATATAATATATATATATATGAGTGTGTTCACAGTAAAGTGACATTTGAAGTATCTGGACTTTAAAAGGTTATAACTTAAAAACTAAACTTCCTTCAATAGATTGGAAAAAAAGATTTCAAACACAGACACATTGAAGAGATAGTGTGGAAAAAATCAAAAGGAAAGATTGACATAAAAATGTTTAGCAACATTTTAAACGACCAAATTAGCCTCTGATTGGACCATTCTACTGTGACGCCAGTTACATAGAAAATAAAATGTCCTCAGTCTGAAAAAGCAGAAGATGAAATCCCACAATATTTACACGGTTAACACAACAGAAGGGAATTACTTGATATAAAAAGGAATCGTAAAAAAAAATAAAATAAATTAATTAAATGACCCCTGAAAAATGTATAACGGACGTGATGAGGACGGTCCTCTTTTCTCTAAAAATTAAACTTGAGAAAAAAAAAATCTGGTCTGTTTTCACATTTAATTGGTTGACAATATGAAAGTATCACTTTGCATCTACTTTGTGTAAAAAAAATAGAATCTCTGAATCAAATGTGGACATCTGAAAATACCTATCAAACTTCCACAAAGCTCATTCCGTCAAATCATCACCGTTACATAAAATAAACAGGGCGCTGTAGGAAACTTGTCTAATGTATAAAACAGTTTTGTTCTAGAAACTTCTAATGGACAGAGGAGGGGCTTGGAAACATGAAAAACATAAAATATCTTCTGATTATTAAAATCTAATTTTTGGCCTTTTGTCACACTTTTGTGCCCTTTAGTGTGAACAAGCCCATATGTATAATGTGCTGCTGCTGAACCAGTTTGAATGGTTTAACATGAAACTGACGGCTTCATGTTGGATTTATGTTTTAATGACAGGACAAACTGCACACAGGGCTGCAGCTCCACACATGGATCATCTGGAACATACAGATGTGGTCATTAAGACTTATTCCTGGGTTACTTTGAATCTATTGATTTAGGGCTTTAATAAAATACAGTGTTGTGTTTTAATTTGGTTTCATTATTTTGCCTTGTAGTTTATGAACTGAGTGAGATTGACCCGTTTCAAATCGATCCCCAATAAAATCTAATATTCCACATTAGGAATAAACATTAACTGTTGGAACATGTGCAGTTTCAGTCCCTGGATTAGTGACTGTCGTGGATCTGAAATAAAAGACAACAGAGAACGTTAAAGTTAAAGTTCCAAGAGTGAGTCTCATTGTAATTGTTGTGTTTAACCGTTTGTGACGTTTCCAGATTTGGGAATGGACGATGAAGGTGACGATGACCCAGTCCCGCTCCCAAACGTCAACGCCGCCATCCTCAAGAAGGTGATTCACACACGGCTCCTCACACGGCTCCGCACACGGCTCCGCACACGGCTCCGCACACGGCTCCGCACACGGCTCCTCGCACGGCTCCGCACACAGCTCCTCACACGGCCCCACACACGGCCCCGCCCACGGCCCCGCACACGGCTCTGCACACGGCTCCTCACGCGGCTCCTCACACGGCCCCACACACGGCCCCGCACACGGCCCCGCACACGGCTCTGCACACGGCTCCTCACGCGGCTCCGCACGCGGCTCCGCACGCGGCTCCGCACACGGCTCCGCTCACGCGGCTCCTCACGCGGCTCCTCACGCGGCTCCGCACACGGCCCCGCACACGGCTCTGCACACGGCTCCTCACGCGGCTCCGCACGCGGCTCCTCACGTGACTCCTCACACGGCGCCTCACACGGCTCCTCAAACGGATCCTCAAACGGCTCCTCACACGGCTCCTCACACGGCTCCTCACACGGCTCCGCACACGGCTCCGCACACGGCTCCGCACACGGCTCCGCACACGGCTCCGCACACGGCTCCGCACACGGCTCCTCACACGGCTCCGCACACGGCTCCTCACACGGCCCCTCACACGCCTCCGCACACGGCTCCTCACACGGCTCCGCACACGGCTCCTCACACGGCTCCGCACACGGCTCCTCACACGGCTCCTCACACGGCTCCGCACACGGCTCCTCACACGGCTCCGCACACGGCTCCATACACGGCTCCTCACACGGCTCCTCACACGGCTCCTCACACGGCCCCGCGCACGGCTCCTCGCACGGCTCCTCGCACGGCTCCTCACACGGCTCCTCGCACGGCCCCTCACACGGCCCCTCACACGGCCCCGCACACGGCTCCGCGCACGGCTCCGCGCACGGCTCCGCGCACGGCTCCACACACGGCCCCTCACACGGCCCCTCACACGGCCCCGCACACGGCCCCGCACACGGCTCCTCACACGGCTCCTCACACGGCTCCGCACACGGCCCCGCACACGGCCCCTCACACGGCCCCGCACACGGCTCCGCACACGGCCCCGCACACGGCTCCTCACACGGCTCCTCACACGGCTCCTCACACGGCTCCTCACACGGCTCCGCACACGGCTCCGCACACGGCTCCGCACACGGCTCCGCACACGGCTCCGCACACGGCTCCGCACACGGCACCTCACACGGCCCCTCACACGCCTCCGCACACGGCTCCTCACACGGCTCCGCACACGGCTCCTCACACGGCTCCTCACACGGCTCCTCACACGGCTCCTCACACGGCTCCGCACACGGCTCCGCACACGGCTCCTCACACGGCTCCGCACACGGCTCCTCACACGGCTCTTCACACGCCTCCTCACACGGCTCCTCACACGGCTCCTCACACGGCCCCTCACACGGCTCCGCACACGGCTCCTCACACGGCTCCTCACACGGCTCCTCACACGGTCCTCAGCTGTTGTGGACTGAGAACATTTAGTTTGTCGGAAGGATTTGTTGAAACTTCTTTTCATGAATTAGTGTCTGTCTCTGTGTAAAATGTTCTAATAAGAGCTTCCCCTGTGTCTGCACAGAGGAACCGTCTGTTTGATCATAGTCTGTGTGCCGCAGGTGATCCAGTGGTGCACTCACCACAAAGACGACCCTCCTCCTCCAGAGGACGACGAGAACAAGGAGAAGAGGACGGACGACATTCCTGTGTGGGACCAGGAGTTCCTCAAGGTCGACCAGGGAACTCTGTTCGAGCTCATTCTGGTGAGACACGCCTCAAAGACTCGTTATGTTCGGAGACTCGTTATGTTCGGAGACTCGTTATGTTCAGAGACTCGTTATGTTCAGAGACTCGTTATGTTCAGAGACTCGTTATGTTCAGAGACTCGTTATGTTGAAAGACTCGTTAGGTTCAGAGACTCGTTATGTTCAGAGACTCGTTATGTTCAGAGACTCGTTATGTTCAGAGACTCGTTATGTTCAGAGACTCGTTATGTTCAGAGACTCGTTATGTTCAGAGACTCGTTATGTTCAGAGACTCGTTATGTTCAGAGACTCGTTATGTTCAGAGACTCGTTATGTTCAGAGACTCGTTATGTTCAGAGACTCGTTATGTTCAGAGACTCGTTATGTTCAGAGACTCGTTAGGTTCAGAGACTCGTTATGTTCAGAGACTCGTTATGTTCAGAGACTCGTTATGTTGAAAGACTCGTTAGGTTCAGAGACTCGTTATGTTCAGAGACTCGTTATGTTCAGAGACTCGTTATGTTCAGAGACTCGTTATGTTCAGAGACTCGTTATGTTCAGAGACTCGTTATGTTCAGAGACTCGTTATGTTCAGAGACTCGTTATGTTCAGAGACTCGTTATGTTCAGAGACTCGTTATGTTCAGAGAGTTATGTTCAGAGACTCGTTTTGTTCAGAGACTCGTATCAGACTCGTTAGTTCAAGACTCGTTAGAGAGACTTTAGTCAAGACTCGTTATGACTTCAGAGACTCGTTATGTTCAGAGACTCGTTATGTTCAGAGACTCGTTATGTTCAGAGACTCGTTATGTTCAGAGACTCGTTATGTTCAGAGACTCGTTATGTTCAGAGACTCGTTATGTTCAGAGACTCGTTATGTTCAGAGACTCGTTATGTTCAGAGACTCGTTATGTTCAGAGACTCGTTATGTTCAGAGACTCGTTATGTTCAGAGACTCGTTATGTTCAGAGACTCGTTAGGTTGAAAGACTCGTTAGGTTCAGAGACTCTTTATGTTCAGAGACTCGTTATGTTCAGAGACTCGTTATGTTCAGAGACTCGTTATGTTCAGAGACTCGTTATGTTCAGAGACTCGTTATGTTCAGAGACTCGTTATGTTCAGAGACTCGTTATGTTCAGAGACTCGTTATGTTCAGAGACTCGTTATGTTCAGAGACTCGTTATGTTCAGAGACTCGTTATGTTCAGAGACTCGTTATGTTCAGAGACTCGTTATGTTCAGAGACTCGTTATGTTCAGAGACTCGTTATGTTCAGAGACTCGTTAGGTTCAGAGACTCGTTAGGTTCAGAGACTCGTTAGGTTCAGAGACTCGTTAGGTTCAGAGACAGAGACTCGTTATGTTCAGAGACTCGTTATGTTCAGAGACTCGTTATGTTCAGAGACTCGTTATGTTCAGAGACGTCTGAGTTTCGGTCCCTGTGATCCTCTGATGCTCTCAGGGACGTCTTGTAACTTTGCCTTTTCACTCGGTCGAGGAATCACACGTTTCTTTACTTTCTACATTTGATATTCAGTTACAAATATTTGTGTATCGCCCTAAACAGCAGTTGTCTCTGAGGACGCTGAGGACGCTGAGGACGCTGGGGACGCTGGGGCGGGACTTCTGTCAATCACTGACCTTCCACAGCGCTCTTAAACACATGTTGTCGTTCTGCTTTTGACAGTTGCTATGACGAGCTGGAGTTTGTCTCTGAATGAAGGCCTCTGATTGGTCGGTCCGTATATGGTCATATCTGGATTTACAAAGACATCACAGATTAACAGCAGGATGGTGATGTCACACGTTACTGAGCTAGAGGAGTTTACTTTTATATGGAAGTCAATAGGAGCCAAACTTCACCATGAGCACTTCCCTACGCTGCATAGAGCTAGCGTTAGCATTGTCCATCTGTAAACAGTCTATGGTAGGGCTGCACAATATATCGAAAAAATATCATTATCGCGATATTGGTATGTGCAATATCCATATCGAAAAGATTTTTAAAAAATTCCGTTAAAGACAACAAAACAGACATACATCTACATTCAGTATATACATATAACTACTATAAACTATACAACTAAAAATAACAACAGGCAAACGCACAGTGGCTGAGTGGTTAGCACTCTCGCTTCTCAGCAAGAAGGTCCTGGGTTCGAGTCCCAGTTGGAACAGGGTCTTTCTGAGTGGAGTTTGCATGTTCTCCCCGTGCCGGCGTAGGTTTCCTCCGGGTGCTCCGGGTTCCCCTACCACTAAAAACAAGCTCACTAGGTTAAATCCTCCAGCTCTGGTCCTGATCAAGCCGAGCATCAACATCTGGAGATGGGTTCCCGGGCGCTGTTACTACGGCGACCACTGCTCCTGATGGACGCCTTAGGGCCTCGGGGTCAAATGCATGTGAAGGTCATTAATGTTGTGCTTATTGTTTATTTGTCTCGTTTCACTGCAGACACAAATATCGCAGTAATATTGTTATCGCAATACTAAACACTCTTAATGTCCAATGGTCTGTGGTCCTGACCGTTTACTTCCTGTCTGTGTTTCCAGGCGGCGAACTACCTGTGGTCCTGACCGTTTACTTCCTGTCTGTGTTTCCAGGCGGCGAACTACCTGTGGTCCTGACCGTTTACTTCCTGTCTGTGTTTCCAGGCGGCGAACTACCTGTGGTCCTGACCGTTTACTTCCTGTCTGTGTTTCCAGGCGGCGAACTACCTGTGGTCCTGACGTTTACTTCCTGTCTGTGTTTCCAGGCGGCGAACTACCTGTGGTCCTGACCGTTTACTTCCTGTCTGTGTTTCCAGGCGGCGAACTACCTGTGGTCCTGACCGTTTACTTCCTGTCTGTGTTTCCAGGCGGCGAACTACCTGTGGTCCTGACCGTTTACTTCCTGTCTGTGTTTCCAGGCGGCGAACTACCTGTGGTCCTGACCGTTTACTTCCTGTCTGTGTTTCCAGGCGGCGAACTACCTGTGGTCCTGACCGTTTACTTCCTGTCTGTGTTTCCAGGCGGCGAACTACCTGTGGTCCTGACCGTTTACTTCCTGTCTGTGTTTCCAGGCGGCGAACTACCTGTGGTCCTGACCGTTTACTTCCTGTCTGTGTTTCCAGGCGGCGAACTACCTGTGGTCCTGACCGTTTACTTCCTGTCTGTGTTTCCAGGCGGCGAACTACCTGTGGTCCTGACCGTTTACTTCCTGTCTGTGTTTCCAGGCGGCGAACTACCTGTGGTCCTGACCGTTTACTTCCTGTCTGTGTTTCCAGGCGGCGAACTACCTGTGGTCCTGACCGTTTACTTCCTGTCTGTGTTTCCAGGCGGCGAACTACCTGTGGTCCTGACCGTTTACTTCCTGTCTGTGTTTCCAGGCGGCGAACTACCTGTGGTCCTGACCGTTTACTTCCTGTCTGTGTTTCCAGGCGGCGAACTACCTGTGGTCCTGACCGTTTACTTCCTGTCTGTGTTTCCAGGCGGCGAACTACCTGTGGTCCTGACCGTTTACTTCCTGTCTGTGTTTCCAGGCGGCGAACTACCTGTGGTCCTGACCGTTTACTTCCTGTCTGTGTTTCCAGGCGGCGAACTACCTGTGGTCCTGACCGTTTACTTCCTGTCTGTGTTTCCAGGCGGCGAACTACCTGTGGTCCTGACCGTTTACTTCCTGTCTGTGTTTCCAGGCGGCGAACTACCTGGACATCAAAGGTCTGCTGGACGTGACCTGTAAAACTGTGGCCAACATGATCAAAGGAAAAACCCCCGAGGAAATCCGTAAGACGTTTAACATCAAGAACGACTTCACGGAGGAAGAGGAGGCTCAGGTCTGTACTCGGATACTCTCGCTCTACTCGGATACTCTCGCTCTACTCGGATACACTTGCTCTACTCGGATACTCTCGCTCTACTCTGATACTCTCGCTCTACTCTGATACTCTCGCTCCACTCGGATACTCTTGCTCCACTCGGATACTCTCGCTCTACTCTGATACTCTCGCTCTACTCGGATACTCTCGCTGTACTCGGATACTTTCGCTCTACTCTGATACTCTCGCTTTACTCGGATACTCTCGCTCCACTCGGATACTCTCGCTCTACTCGGATACTCTCGCTCTACTCTGATACTCTCGCGCTACTCTGATACTCTCGCGCTACTCTGATACTCTCGCGCTACTCTGATACTCTCGCTCTACTCTGATACTCTCGCTCTACTCGGATACTCGCTGTTCTCGGATACTCTCGCTCTACTCGGATACTTGCTGTTCTCGGATACTCTCGCTCTACTCGGATACTCGCTGTTCTCGGATACTCTCGCTCTACTCGGATACTCTCGCTTCACTCGGATACTCTCGCTCCACTCGGATACTCTCGCTCTACTCGGATACTCTCGCTCTACTCGGATACTCTCGCTCTACTCGGATACTCTCGCGCTACTCTGATACTCTCGCTCTACTCTGATACTCTCGCGCTACTCGGATACTCTCGCTCTACTCGGATACTCGCTGTTCTCGGATACTCTCGCTGTTCTCGGATACTCTCGCTGTTCTCGGATACTCTCGCTGTTCTCGGATACTCTCGCTCTACTCTGATACTCGCTGTTCTCGGATACTCTTGCTCTACTCGGATACTCTCGCTCTACTCGGATACTTTCGCTCTACTCTGATACTCTCGCTTCACTCGGATACTCTCGCTCCACTCGGATACTCTCGCTCCACTCGGATACTCTCGCTCTACTCGGATACTCTCGCTCTACTCGGATACTCTCGCGCTACTCTGATACTCTCGCTCTACTCGGATACCCTCGCTCTACTCGGATACTCTCGCTCTACTCGGATACTCTCGCTCTACTCTGATACTCTTGCTCTACTCGGATACTCTCGCTCTACTCTGATACTCTCGCTCTACTCTGATACTCTCGCTCTACTCTGATACTCTCGCTCTACTCGGATACTCTCGCTCTACTCGGATACTCTCGCTCTACTCGGATACTCTCGCTCTACTCGGATACTCTCGCTCTACTCGGATACTCTCGCTCTACTCGGATACTCTCGCTCTACTCGGATACTCTCGCCCTACTCGGATACTCTCGCTCTACTCGGATACTCTCGCTCTACTCTGATACTCTCGCTCTACTCGGATACCCTCGCTCTACTCGGATACTCTCGCTCTACTCGGATACTCTCCCCCCTCACTAAAGTACAAACACACAGTTAAGTGGCAAACGGATAATGGGTTTCCTCCAGGCGCTCCAGTTTCCCCCATCACCCAAAACGAGTTGGGGCAAAACTTTGTCCATGAGCACTTCCCTATTGTGTTTCACAGAGCTAGTCATAGTTTATGGTTTACTCTGTGACGGACAGTGGATGAGAAGAAACATAAATAACCAAGTCCGTCGGGTGGCTGAGTGGTTAGCCCTCTCCTTTCTCAGCAAGAAGGTCCTGGGTTCAAATCCCAATCTGAACAGGGCCTTTCTGAGTGGAGTTTACATGTTCTCCCTGTGTCTGCGTAGGTTTCCTCCGGGCGCTCCGGTTTCCCCTACACTAAAACATGTGTAATAATCTGAATGGAGGGTGTTTGGTCGGAGGCTTTGATGGACCAACAATGTCTGAACACTGTAAAAATGTGCCATATAAATAAGTTTTCTTCTTCTGCTGCAGGTGCGTAAAGAGAACCAATGGTGTGAAGAGAAGTAGGCGTCACAGAAGAACAAGACTCTGCACTGGCATTGTTCATACTTGTTAATATTGACATTTTAGTAAATCTAGAACCCACAAGCTCCGCCCCCTCCGCTCTGTCACTTCCTGTTTCGATGCATGACCATTTTAAACAGCGTGATGTCATATTAATTTAAATAAATCTCTTTTTGCTTCCGAAACCTGTTATTTTCACTGACAGAAGGCTTTATTTCCTGTTTGAGTTGGCGGGACGGTGAATTGTCGATGGTTTTGTGATGTTTGAATTGTAGAAAATCATTGACCTGGATTCTCTGCATGTCGCGTTAGATCTATGGTTTTTATCATTTACCGTTTTGTTTTGAAGATTGAAAAAGACCCAGTGTCTAAGTGACTGGTTTTGGCCACTTCCCGATGTGTCCAGCAGAGGGAGCCACCCACAAAACACTTATAATTTCTGAACCCTGGAGTAGTTCTTGTCAAACTCGTGTCTGGGCTCGATGCCACTTTCTCTTCTCGTGTTGATTCCGTCGTTTTGGGTTTTGTCGAACATTTAAGGAGCAAATAAAAAATGTACCAAAAAGAAAATACTTGTTTTTATTCTTTAAACTTTAACAGACGATGACATCACACTAAACATACTTAGACCACACCTCCAGACCACCTGAGAGTTTGCATGTTCTCCCTGTGTCTGTGCTCTGGTTTCCACTTCCATTATAAACAGGTACAGTTCTGCCTCCTGCAGGCGACATGTGGAACTGCAAGACACATCTTTAAAAACATGAGAAAACTAGTGATGGATGTTTTCAGGGTTAGAGACACACAAAGAGATGACAATATTCACTTGGTTTTTGTCTCATGGACTTCACTGGATTTAGTCTGGTCTCCCTGGTCTCTCTCTGGGTGGCTGAGTGGATAGCACTCTCGCTGCTCAGCAAGCAGCTCTTGGGTTCGAATCCCGGTCGGACCAGGGCCTTCCTGAGTTGAGTTTGCATGTTTAGGTGCTCCGGTTTCCCCTACCACCAAAAATGTGTACGATAGTTCTGGCATGCGCCTTCTGTACTGGCGACCCCCCCCCCCTCCCATCTCTGTGTGGAGTGAGAGATAAACTCTGGTTCTGAATTGTTTTTATTAAACAGTTTATAACAGAGTCATGTCCATAAAACAGAATAAAAACAAAACAAATAGAAAATGCATTTGAAAATAAAACATAATACAATAAAATCAGGACGATGGAAACAAAGTAAAATCGAATAATGAATCTTCTATAAAACGGGAAAAGTCGTAACTTAATGGAACCATCAAATAAACGGTCCTGGGTCTACAGCCTCAGTCCTGGGTCTGCAGCCTCAGTCTGTGGGAGTGGATCCTCTCCCATTGTGGGCCTACCTGAGGTTTCTCACTTCTTCCCACTGGGTTTCTTCAATCTTGCTGCAGGAGGCTCAGAGGTGATGGTCCAGGACTTTGGTCTCGGTCTCTTCTGGACCAATGGTTCCCTGTGTTTTTGTTGAATCCACAGTTTTGTAAAGTCCTCAGAGACTGGAGCTGCTGTGGTTCAGGCTTTTACAGAAACACATGGACCTCGACCTCAGAGACTGATACTTCAACAGAACCTCAGAGCCTCAGTCTCGGTCCCTCAGACCCTCACACCCCCCCCGACCCGCCCTAGACCCCCCCCCCCCCTCAGTAGTAGTGGCAGATCTGCAGGCGGCTGCTGGGGTCGTTCTTGCCGGGGCTGAAGAAGGGGGCGACGGGCTCCTGGAAGCAGGTGTTGAACAGGAAGAGTCTCTTCATGGTCACGGCGTCGTAGAAGCTGAGGCGCCCGTGGTCGTAGTCCAGGTACACGCCCACGCGAGGGGAGTTCCAGTAGTCGGCGACGAGGATGCGCCCGTCGTCCCCGTTGGCGTACAGCCGGTCCTGAAGGCACAGGCTCCAGTATCCGAACGACGGAGACAGGTTCACGAAGCCTTTTCTGTTACTGCTCTCTGTGGTGACGCCCAGGTACCTGAGAGAGGGGGGAGGGGGGGAGAGAGGACATGTTAGATCAGGCACCTGAGAGACCACAGGACGGTGGGTTTAGATCAAGTCCTGTTCATGTTTTTAACACATCTTATTATTTGTTGTAATTCTAGTTTCCGCCAGTAGTGGGCGCCATGTCTTTGGCCTGTGCCTTGGCCACTTCTTGCTTTGTTATTTCCTGTTTCGTTGTGAGCAGAGGTCTCGCTGTATCGTGGTTCACTCAGTGTTCACTCAAACATCATCATGAGACGCTCAGTTACTTTTATATAAAGTCACAGGAAAACTAATGTGGTTTTTGTGATTCTCTCTCTGTGATTCTCTCTCTGTGATTCTCTCTCTGTGATTCCCTCTCTGTGATTCCCTCTCTGTGATTCCCTCTCTGTGATTCCCTCTCTGTGATTCCCTCTCTGTGATTCCCTCTCTGTGATTCCCTCTGTGATTCCCTCTCTGTGATTCCCTCTCTGGTCTCCCTCTCTGGTCTCCCTCTCTGGTCTCCCTCTCTGGTCTCCCTCTCTGGTCTCTCTCTCTGGTCTCTCTCTCTGGTCTCTCTCTCTGGTCTCTCTCTGGTCTCTCTCTCTGGTCTCCCTCTGGTCTCTCTCTGGTCTCCCTCTGGTCTCTCTCACCACACGCCCTTGTCTCTGACGTCCACCTCCCAGTAGTGCTGTCCGCTGCTGTACTCTGCGGTTGCCAGGACGCCGCAGAATCGAGTAAATCGAGCCGGAAGGTCTGGCTCCACCACCCGGATCCTGCTCTCCTCCACTTTAGTGTCAAAGTCCGAGATCAGGAGGTTCAGGTGGGCCGTGTCGGGGTCCAGGGTCAGGTTCTGGGGCACTGAGGGGGGGAGGGGGATTAGAGAGTGAGAGGGGGGGAGAGAGGTGGGGAGCACATTGTTAAAACACTTTTGGTTCACTATGTCTGGTTCTTTGATTGTATCTGAGTTTGAGGAAAAGCTGCTAAACACAAATAATGTAAACAGAACCGAGCAGAACCACGCACTGGTGTGTAGAACGTGCATCATCTTCTTCCACAGAACCAGCTGGAACGGGTCACAGAACTCAGAGAAGTCCGTGTCACAGTCCACGGGCTCCAGGGACGCGAACCTCTTCCCAGAGATCGCTCTGGAGAAACAAACATCTCATTAAACCCACGGTCTGTTCCGGACTATAGGCCTCACCAGACTATAGGCTGCACCCGACTATAGGCCGCACCAGACTATAGGCCGCATCCGACTATAGGCCGCACCCGACTATAGGCCGCACCCGACTATAGGCCGCACCCGACTATAGGCCGCACCCGACTACAGGCCGCACCAGACTACAGGCCGCACCAGACTACAGGCCGCACCAGACTATAGGCCGCATCCGACTATAGGCCGCACCCGACTATAGGCCGCACCCGACTATAGGCCGCACCCGACTACAGGCCGCACCAGACTACAGGCCGCACCAGACTACAGGCCGCACCCGACTACAGGCCGCACCCGACTACAGGCCGCACCAGACTACAGGCCGCACCCGACTACAGGCCGCACCAGACTACAGGCCGCACCAGACTACAGGCCGCACCCGACTACAGGCCGCACCCGACTACAGGCCGCACCCGACTACAGGCCGCACCCGACTACAGGCCGCACCAGACTACAGGCCGCACCAGACTACAGGCCGCACCAGACTACAGGCCGCACCCGACTACAGGCCGCACCAGACTACAGGCCGCACCCGACTACAGGCCGCACCAGACTACAGGCCGCACCAGACTACAGGCCGCACCCGACTACAGGCCGGACCCGACTACAGGCCGGACCCGACTACAGGCTGCACCAGACTACAGGCCGCACCCGACTACAGGCCGCACCAGACTACAGGCCGCACCAGACTACAGGCCGCACCCGACAGTAGGCCGCACCAGACTACAGGCCGCACCAGACTACAGGCCGCACCCGACTACAGGCCGCACCCGACTACAGGCCGCACCCGACAGTAGGCCGCACCCGACAGTAGGCCGCACCAGACTACAGGCCGCACCCGACTAGAGGCCGCACCCGACGACAGGCCGCACCAGACGACAGGCCGCACCAGACTACAGGCCGCACCAGACTACAGGCCGCACCAGACTACAGGCCGCACCAGACTACAGGCCGCACCAGACTACAGGAGGCCGCACCCGACTATAGGCCGCACCCGACTATAGGCCGCACCCAACTATAGGCCGCACCAGACTATAGGCCGCACCAGACTATAGGCCGCACCAGACTATAGGCCGCACCAGACTATAGGCCCCAGACTATAGGCTGCACCAGACTATAGGCCGCTCCAGACTACAGGAGGCCGCACCCGACTATAGGCCGCACCAGACTATAGGCCGCACCAGACAGTAGGCCGCACCCGACAGTAGGCCGCACCCGACAGTAGGCCGCACCAGACTACAGGAGGCTGCACCAGACTACAGGAGGCTGCACCAGACTACAGGCCGCACCAGACTATAGAAGGCCGCACCCAACTACAGGCTACACCAGACTACAGGCCGCACCCGACTACAGCCACCGGCCGCACCGACTACAGGCCGCACCCGACTACAGGCCGCACCCGACTACAGGCCGCACCCGACAGTAGCCGCACCGACCCGCACCCGACTACAGGCCGCACCAGACTACAGGCCGCACCAGACTACAGGCCGCACCCGACTAAGGCCGCACCAGACTACAGGCCGCACCCGACTACAGGCCGCACCAGACTACAGGCCGCACCAGACTACAGGCCGCACCAGACTACAGGCCGCACCAGACTACAGGCCGCACCAGACTACAGGAGGCCGCACCCGACTATAGGCCGCACCCGACTATAGGCCGCACCAGACTATAGGCCGCACCAGACTATAGGCCGCACCAGACTATAGGCCGCACCAGACTATAGGCCGCACCTGACTTTAGGCCGCTCCAGACTACAGGAGGCCGCACCCGACTATAGGCCGCACCAGACTATAGAAGGCCGCACCCAACTACAGGCTACACCAGACTACAGGCCGCACCCGACTACAGGCCGCACCCGACTACAGGCCGCACCCGACTACAGGCCGCACCCGACAGTAGGCCGCACCCGACTACAGGCCGCACCAGACTACAGGCCGCACCAGACTACAGGCCGCACCCGACTAGAGGCCGCACCAGACTACAGGCCGCACCCGACTACAGGCCGCACCAGACTACAGGCCGCACCAGACTACAGGCCGCACCAGACTACAGGCCGCACCAGACTACAGGCCGCACCAGACTACAGGCCGCACCAGACTACAGGCCGCACCAGACTACAGGAGGCCGCACCCGACTATAGGCCGCACCCGACTATAGGCCGCACCAGACTATAGGCCGCACCAGACTATAGGCCGCACCAGACTATAGGCCGCACCAGACTATAGGCCGCACCTGACTATAGGCCGCTCCAGACTACAGGAGGCCGCACCCGACTATAGGCCGCACCAGACTATAGAAGGCCGCACCCAACTACAGGCTACACCAGACTACAGGCCGCACCCGACTACAGGCCGCACCCGACTACAGGCCGCACCCGACTACAGGCCGCACCCGACTACAGGCCGCACCCGACAGTAGGCCGCACCCGACTACAGGCCGCACCAGACTACAGGCCGCACCAGACTACAGGCCGCACCCGACTAGAGGCCGCACCAGACTACAGGCCGCACCCGACTACAGGCCGCACCAGACTACAGGCCGCACCATACTACAGGCCGCACCAGACTACAGGCCGCACCAGACTACAGGAGGCCGCACCCGACTATAGGCCGCACCAGACTATAGGCCGCACCAGACTATAGGCCGCACCAGACTATAGGCTGCACCTGACTATAGGCCGCTCCAGACTACAGGAGGCCGCACCCGACTATAGGCCGCACCAGACTATAGGCCGCACCCGACAGTAGGCCGCACCAGACTACAGGAGGCTGCACCAGACTACAGGCCGCACCAGACTATAGAAGGCCGCACCCAACTACAGGCTACACCTGACTACAGGCTACACTTGACTACAGGCTGCTCCAGACTACAGGAGGCCGCACCAGACTATAGGCAGCACCCGACTATAGGCCGCACCTGACTATAGGCCGCACCCGACTATATGCCGCACCTGACTACAGGCCGCACCCGACTATAGGCCGCTCCAGACTACAGGAGGCCGCACCCGACTATAGGCCGCACCAGACTATAGGCCGCACCAGACTATAGGCTGCACCCGACTATAGGCCGCACTATTTAAGATATTAGAAGAACTTTATTTTTATTCCTTTAATTGGATGTCTGTGAACCGCTCACTTCTGTCGTCGACTGTTACACAGAAAAAATAAATCAAAAATCAAGCCTCGAAAAGACAGTATTCACTTTATTTTGTCACATCAGAACGACTGACACATCTCTGTTAAGTTATAAATGTTTAGTGTTGAACAATTATATACTTTTTAGGCCCGAAATTAACACTAGTCAAATGTAAAACTTTAACAATTTAAAGCTGGGGTGTGTAACATCCAGAGCCTGGTTGTGTTCAGAAAGTTACGACCCCCAGCTTTAACATGGATTCCACAGTGAATAATAATAATACTTACTCTTCATAAGACGTGAACAGACTCTGAGGACGGAAAAGACAAAGGTCAGAGGTCACACAGACGAGGAACATGAAGCGTGGACGTGCGGCGCACCTCCAGACTGCCCGTGCCTCCCAGGAGCGTCTGGACGTCGGCGAGCGTTTTACAGACGGCGGCGTGTTCTTCTTCTGCAGATTTCAGGTTCTCCTCGATCGTCTCCATCGTGGTCACTTCCTCCACGTCCAGAGCGTCCAGCAGCGAGTCCCGCTCGTCCAACAGGAACTGGACCAGGGCGCCCACGTCGGCCTCGATCTTCTCCTTCACTCGCTGCTTCCTCCTCTGGGACACAGGGACAGGGTTAGCACAGGGACTGGCCTCCTGCTGTGACTCTGAGGAGCACAGGGACTGGCCTCCTGCTGGGACTCTGAGGAGCACAGGGACTGGCCTCCTGCTGGGACTCTGAGGAGCACAGGGACTGGCATCCTGCTGGGACTCTGAGGAGCACAGGGACTGGCCTCCTGCTGGGACTCTGAGGAGCACAGGGACTGGCCTCCTGCTGGGACTCTGAGGAGCACAGGGACTGGCCTCCTGCTGGGACTCTGAGGAGCACAGGGACAGGCCTCCTGCTGGGACTCTGAGGAGCACAGGGACTGGCCTCCTGCTGGGACTCTGAGGAGCACAGGGACTGGCCTCCTGCTGGGACTCTGAGGAGCACAGGGACAGGCCTCCTGCTGGGACTCTGAGGAGCACAGGGACTGGCCTCCTGCTGGGACTCTGAGGAGCACAGGGACTGGCCTCCTGCTGGGACTCTGAGGAGCACAGGGACTGGCCTTGGACGTCCTCTTTAATGAGTCTTAAAAACACAGGATGAGGACCAGTGTTGGTGCTACATAAATAAATGATGCTGTTCTGATTCACTGTAACCACGGCGACGCAGACCTTCAAACACTTCAGGGACGAGCGTCTGATGTGTGGACGCTGCGTCTTTAGGACAAAGGAGAGAAAGAAGGAAGAAAAACTGGAGCAAAAAAGATTTAAAAAGGGAAAAAACAGAAGAGAAAAAACTGGGCCAAAAAATTTAACAAAAAAACGGAAATTTTGTTTTGAAAAATTAAAAAACAGAAAATAAACTATAACAAATAAATAGAAAACAACCAAAAACAAACAACAGCAGAAATGTAAAACAAGGACGACCACCTTCTCCCAGCCAATCAGCTCTCAGCCAATCAGCTCTCAGCCAATCAGCTCTCAGCCAATCAGCTCTCAGCCAATCAGCTCTCAGCCAATCAGCTCTCAGCCAATCAGCTCTCAGCCAATCAGCGCTGAGTCAGACAATAACTTTCCCAGGACTCTCTTTTGGGATACAACATTATTGATTATGAAGAAAAGTTACGTCCCACAGCTTTAATGTGTATCTATCTGCTCACATGTGGCTTAGTATTATTAATATTATTATTATAAATATCCATCCATCCATTTTCTTCCCCTTAATCCATTTCTGGGTTGGGGGGGTGGCAGTCAGAGCTGCACCCAGTCACAGAGCACCAGCCCCTCACTGATCCTCCTGCAGGTGGTGAGTCCACAGGAGCTCTTTTATAATATATTTATATATATAATATTATATATATTATATATATATATATATATATATATATATTATTATTATCATTATTATTATTGTTGTTGGAAGTGTCACCTTGACTTCTTCTTTGGTCCGTCTGTCTGCGCTCAGAACGTTCTGACAGTGAGTTTTGTGCCAGTTCAGCTCCTGCTGCCACAGCTTCAGCTCCATCTGCAACAACACGTCACAACTGAGGGAGCACTGAGGGAGCACTGAGGGAGCACTGAGGGAGCACTGAGGGAGCACTGAGGGAGCACTGAGGGAGCACTGAGGGAACACTGAGGGAGCACTGAGGGAACACTGAGGGAGCACTGAGGGAGCACTGAGGGAACACTGAGGGAGCACTGAGGGAGCACTGAGGGAGCACTGAGGGAGCACTGAGGGAACACTGAGGGAACACAGCACTGAGGGAACACTGAGGGAGCACTGAGGGAGCACTGAGGGAACACTGAGGAAACACTGAGGGAGCACTGAGGGAGCACTGAGGGAGCACTGAGGGAGCACTGAGGGAACACTGAGGGAACACTGAGGGAACACTGAGGAAACACTGAGGGAGCACTGAGGGAGCACTGAGGGAGCACTGAGGGAACACTGGAGGGAGCACTGAGGGAGCACTGAGGGAGCACTGAGGGAACACTGAGGAAACACTGAGGAAACACTGAGGGAGCACTGAGGGAGCACTGAGGGAGCACTGAGGGAGCACTGAGGGAACACTGAGGGAACACAGCACTGAGGGAACACAACACTGAGGGAACACTGAGGGAGCACTGAGGGAACACTGAGGGAGCACTGAGGGAGCACTGAGGGAGCACTGAGGGAGCACTGAGGGAGCACTGAGGGAGCACTGAGGAAACACTGAGGGAACACTGAGGGAGCACTGAGGGAGCACTGAGGGAGCACTGAGGGAGCACTGAGAGAGCACTGAGGGAGCACTGAGGGAGCACTGAGAGAGCACTGAGGGAGCACTGAGGGAGCACTGAGGGAACACTGAGGGAGCACTGAGGGAACACTGAGGGACCACTGAGGGAGCACTGAGGGAGCACTGAGGGAGCACTGAGGGAGCACTGAGAGAGCACTGAGAGAGCACTGAGGGAACACTGAGGGAACACAGCACTGAGGGAACACTGAGGGAACACTGAGGGAGCACTGAGGGAACACTGAGGGAGCACTGAGGGAGCACTGAGGGAGCACTGAGGGAGCACTAAGGGAACACTGAGGGAGCACTGAGGGAACACTGAGGAAACACTGAGGAAACACTGAGGGAACACTGAGGGAACACTGAGGGAACACTGAGGGAGCACTGAGAGAGCACTGAGAGAGCACTGAGGGAGCACTGAGGGAACACTGAGGGAGCACTGAGGGAACACTGAGGGAGCACTGAGGGAGCACTGAGGGAGCACTGAGGGAGCACTAAGGGAACACTGAGGGAGCACTGAGGGAACACTGAGGAAACACTGAGGAAACACTGAGGGAACACTGAGGGAACACTGAGGGAGCACTGAGGGAGCACTGAGGGAGCACTGAGAGAGCACTGAGGGAGCACTGAGGGAGCACTGAGGGAGCACTGAGGGAACACTGAGGGAGCACTGAGGGAACACTGAGGGAACACTGAGGAAACACTGAGGGAGCACTGAGGGAGCACTGAGGGAGCACTGAGGGAACACTGAGGCCTCATTCACCTTCATCTCGGTGGTGACCTCTGGCAGCGGCGCCACCTTGTGGTGTCTGAGAAAACAGAAACACTGATATTGAACCTTGGTCTCGGTGAGAGCAGGATTAGCTTTAGCCTCGTTTAACGTCCATATGTTTCTGAAACACAGGCGTCCTCCAGAGACAGCCACAGGCGTCCTCCAGAGACAGCCACAGGCGTCCTCCAGAGACAGCCACAGGCGTCCTCCAGAGACAGCCACAGGCGTCCTCCAGAGACAGCCACAGGCGTCCTCCAGAGACAGCCACAGGATCCTGGATCAGAACAACAACAGCAGTGCCCGTGGTGATGCTACACTCTGTATGTATACACCTGTATACATCTGAATACACCTGTCCATCTGTATACGCCTGTGTACACCTGTACACAGATGTACAGGTGTATACAGGTGTACATAGGCGTACCTGTGGGTCCTGGAATCCCTGCAGACCACACAGATGTATACAGGTGTACACAGGCGTACCTATGGGTCCTGGACTCCCTGCAGACCACACAGATGTATACAGGCGTACACAGGCGTACCTATGGGTCCTGGACTCCCTGCAGACCACACAGATGTATACAGGCGTACACAAGCGTACCTATGGGTCCTGGACTCCCTGCAGACCATACAGATGTATACAGGCGTACACAGGCGTACCTATGGGTCCTGGACTCCCTGCAGACCACACAGATGTATACAGGCGTACCTATGGGTCCTGGACTCCCTGCAGACCACACAGATGTATACAGGCGTACACAGGCGTACCTATGGGTCCTGGACTCCCTGCAGACCACACAGATGTATACAGGCGTACACAGGCGTACCTATGGGTCCTGGACTCCCTGCAGACCACACAGGTGTACACAGGCGTACACAGGCGTACCTATGGGTCCTGGACTCCCTGCAGACCACACAGATGTATACAGGCGTACACAGGCGTACCTATGGGTCCTGGACTCCCTGCAGACCACATGGATGTATACAGGCGTACACAGGCGTACCTATGGGTCCTGGACTCCCTGCAGACCACACAGATGTATACAGGCGTACACAGGCGTACCTATGGGTCCTGGACTCCCTGCAGACCACACAGATGTATACAGGCGTACCTATGGGTCCTGGACTCCCTGCAGACCACATGGATGTATACAGGCGTACACAGGCGTACCTATGGGTCCTGGACTCCCTGCAGACCACACAGATGTATACAGGCGTACACAGGCGTACCTATGGGTCCTGGACTCCCTGCAGACCATACAGATGTATACAGGCGTACACAGGCGTACCTATGGGTCCTGGACTCCCTGCAGACCACACAGATGTATACAGGCGTACACAGGCGTACCTATGGGTCCTGGACTCCCTGCAGACCACACAGATGTATACAGGCGTACACAGGCGTACCTATGGGTCCTGGACTCCCTGCAGACCACACAGATGGCCCTCTTGTCGCTGTGGCAGTAGAGTTTCAGGTCCTCTCCGTGATGGGGACACTTCCCGTCCACGCTCAGAGCTTTGGGAGGAGTGACGCTCAGACACTGCAGGTCGGACAGACGGTCCACCAGGTTCTGCACCGGGTAGTTCTTAGTGAAGCTCCTCTTGTTAAACACCTGCACACAGTAAAGGTTCACTTTATCTGCAGTAAAACCACAGTGGAATACACCAGTGAGTCCCCAGTGAGTCCCCAGTGAGCTCCAGACAAGTACAGACATAAACCAAGATAAAACAGAACAGAAACAATCATCACTGAAACTAAACAGAGAAATAATGATATAATAATATTAATAATAACAATAATAATTGTGTATTTATAAAGCAGCGTTTTTGCAGAAACCAAACAGACACAAAGGGACCATTGGGAAACAATAACAATAGAACGCACTAATAAAAAGGGCACGAGTTTAAGTCCGTGCTGTTCTGTTGGACCTGAGGAGTAACGGCCCGAGGAGCGAACCCTGAGGAGCCTCTCGCTTTCATGGAACTAACTTTTTTTTTTTCGATATTTTGGGGCAGGTCAGTGCCTTGTTCACAAAGAGAAGGTTGCTGCTGGAATCATCAAAACTCAATGTGAAAAATCGCAACGACTGCAATTGTTCAAGTCTAAGCAGCAGATCACACACCACACGAGGCCTTTTTGTATCACCAAAAATCTACAATTGCTGTGGTCTAAAGAGCATCACAGAAATCTTAACGAAGAATCAAACAATTAAAAAATATGAGCCATCAGAGGAGTAAAGTCTCAACAGAAGAGAACGTAAATGACTCAACCAAGCAAGAATCTGAAACAGCTTTGAATGTAGTGCCACAGAAACACAAAAGGTCCAGGATGCAGGTCTCTCTCACATACAGCCACTTGCATCGTTACTGTTGTGTGTGTTGTGTCTCTAACTACTGCTCTGTAAGTGCGGTGCAACCTTGACATTTCTCCACTGTGGGAAAAATACAGATTCTCTTATCTTATCTTATTAGTTACAAAAACATCTTGTGCATGGAGGTCAAAAATATTACTATATCGACTGAAAAAAACAAACTATTATAAAAATGGCTTTATAAAAGTCCAGTTGCCAAGGATACAGTCTAAAACCTAAGCATTTCGTCCCACATACAGCTAAACTACGCTCTAAGACAATGGTGTTTCCTCCAGCAGCAAAATAATAAAACTCAAACTCAGAACTTTAATAAAAAAGCTGTTCCTGTCCTCAGCCGGTGGTATTTGCGAAATTGAATAAGTTATGAGTGAAATACCGAGATTTTCGTGAGTACCGTTGCTTTGATTAGACAGAGGCTGCATCCGAATTCAACTCTATACTTCTCCTTTCTCACGAGTAAAAATGTCTTTTCATGAAACAGGATAGCGCCAGGTTTGGTCTAGTTGAACGTAAGAGGCTTTGAAGACGTTTTAATCCCACTTAGATCAAATATTATGACGCAGAGATAAGGAAAAGGGGGAACTGGGGTCTGAAGAGAGTGTCTGTGGTGTGTTTGGGACGCGGCCTCACCGAGCGGCACTCCGGGCACTGGTAGCCGTAGTCGTCCCCGTTCTCGTCCCAGTGCGTGCAGATGCAGTAACGGCAGAAGTTGTGGCCACACTTGAGGATGACCGGGTCCTTGAACAGGTCCAGGCAGATGGCACACGTCAGCTCCTTCCTCAGCTCGTCTCCTGCTGCTGCTGTCGCCATGTTGCTGTTTACACCTGAGGGAAGCGAAGCAGGAAGCGAAGCAGGAAGTGAAGGCGGCGCGAGGCGTGTCACTCCCGTATTCGTCCCGGAAACCGGATTCGTCCGGAAGTTCAGTTTGTGCATGTCAAAAAGTTTAATATGTCCTTAAGTGGAGATTGGTTAAGTTTAGGCGTCTGATTAAGATGGTTAAGTTTAGGGTTAAGGCTGGGTTTGGGTTATTTTATGGGAATGGCTGGTTAAGTTTAGGCATGAATAGGTAGTTTTTTATATTTACTTCCGCTTCCGTCCAGATTCCGTGACGTAATCTACTGCTGCGTATGATCATTCATCGCACCAGTTCCTAGTGACGGCGGAATGGCGGCAGCGTCAGCAGGCGGAGGCAGAGCGTCGACGAGGAGAAATGCGCGAGATTTAAATCTCATTGATCTACAACCACCTACCTTAATCCCAGAACCTGTTTTTTCCGTGGATGGGTCAGAGGTACGGAGTTGGGGCGATAGTATGGAGGCTGAGGAGAGTGAAAGTGACGCTGAGTTACAGTCAGCACAGAAGAGAGTGAACAAGCGTAGTAAGCGGCTTCGGAATGAGAGTGGTAGTGACAGCAGTGTTCATTCAGTTATTGAGAGACCGAGTAAGATGATTGTTGTGCTGAGGTTTAATGAGAAAACTCAAGCCAGTGTGAGGAAAGCAAGTCCATTTAGTCTTACAATGGATATTGGGAACAAGCTGGGCGATGTAACATCAGCTAAAGTATTGAATGATGGAAATTTATTAATTCATTGTACCAATGAGGAGCAAATGAAGAAGGCATTGGGCTTGAGGGAGGTGGGAAAGTTTAAAGTTAGCAGCGCGAGTCAGGTGGGAGTTCGACTTGGCGGGAGCAGAGGAGTAATCACCGGAATACCTGCTAATGTAAAGATGGAGGAGTTGAAGAGACATATTAAAGGGGGGGTAGTTAAAAATGTGACTAGGATGAAAGCAACAAGGGACGGAGTGAAAGTGGACAGTGAAACTATACTTATTGAGTTTGAAGAAGCAACTTTGCCTCAGAAAGTGTTCGTTGGGTTTTTGAGTTACTCAGTCAGAGCATTCATACCTAAGCCGCTCAGGTGCTTTAATTGCCAGCGTTTTGGCCACACAGCAAGTAACTGTAAGGATAAGAGAAGGTGTGCTCGATGTGGAGGGGGCCATGAATATGGGAAGTGTGGGGAAGGAGTACAGCCCAAGTGCTGCAACTGTGGTGGGGCACATAGTGTGGCTTATGCTGGATGTGAGTTTATGAAGAAAGAGAGTCAGATTCAAAAGGTGAGAGTAGAGAAGGGGATCTCTTATGCAGAGGCTGTGAGGACATCACGGCAGAGTGCTCCTCTTGTGACGAGGGGGCGGGGAACAGAAGAGCCGGAGGCAGTAACTGGGCAGAGCAAAAGTAATCTAAGTGTACAGCCAATTGCGCTAGTTTCATTTATTGCTGAAGTAATAAACTGCACCTTTGGGGTCAAAACTAGAGATGAAAGGATCAAATTGATTGTTGAGGCAGCAGTAAAGCTGCTAGGAGTGGTAGGACTGACATGGGAAAAGGTGAGTGATCACCTCAGGCTTCAGTCAGGACGAGTGGTATAATGTTATTTGTATTCCTAATGGTGCTTATTCTCCAATGGAATGCAAGAAGTTTACTGGCCAATGGCCAGGAGTTTAAGTATTTCATTAAAGGACTTAAAGAGAAACCGGACGTAATATGTGTGCAGGAGACGTGGCTTAAGCCTTCTTTGGACTTTATAATATATGGATATGCTGTGATTAGAAATGACCGAGACCATGGAGATGGAGGGGGGTGTGCAACATTTGTTAGAAGCGGTATCCCCTACAGGTTACTGGGGGTAGGGGGAAATCTGGAGTGCATTGTAGTGGAAGTATGGGAGAAGGAAAAACCAACAGTGGTCATAAATTTCTATAATCCATGTGCCAGGTTAGAGCATCAGAGCCTCCGGGGTATTCAGGGACAAGACCGTAGGAGAGTAGTTTGGGTGGGGGACTTTAATGCTCACAGTGGAGTATGGGGGGGTCGGCATAAAGACGCCAATGGAAGTGTTATAGAGGAATTGATGGATGAGCAGAATCTTGTGTGTTTGAATGACGGTTCTGGTACAAGGTTTAATGTTGTGAATGGGTCCTCCTCAGCGTTGGATCTTACCCTGGTGTCTAGCGCATGTGCAGGGGGCTGCCAGTGGAGGGTTAGGACAGATACAACCCTGGGGAGTGACCATTATCCTGTTTTGAGCTCAATTGGGGGTAAGGTGAAGGGGATAAGCAGAGAGGGTTTGGGGAAATGGGCTTTCCATAGAGCTAATTGGGATGAGTTCCAAAAGTTATGTGAGGAGGCTGCAGATGAAATGGGGTGTCAAGGCAGTGTAGATGAAATGAATAAACAGATTACGGAGGGAATGATAAATGCTGCACGGAAGAGTATTCCAAAGAGCAAGCCAAAGAATAACAGAGTTCTGGTTCCATGGTGGACGCAGGAGTGCCGGGTAGCGGTCAAGGAGAGGAATAAGGCATTTAGGAAGTTTAAGAGAACGCTCAGTATTCAGCATCTGGTGGAATACAAGAAAGCGCAGGCAATTGTTAGGAGGACAATTAGAAGAGCAAAAAGGTCTAGCTGGAGGGAGTTTTGCTCAAAAGTGGGGAGAACAACACCAGTGGGTGAAGTCTGGGGAATGGTAAGAAGGATGGGTGGAGACAGGCGTGAGTGGGATTACCCAGTATTAGTGACTCAGAGTGGCACAGCGATATCGGACAGGGATAAGGCAGAGGTCATGGCCCAAAGTTTTGTAAAGGTCATAGCTCAGATAACTTATCAGAAGTGGCTAAAAGCAGGAGAGATCAAACCAGAGATCAGAACCAGGAAGTATTTGTAACTAAGGAGGATTTAAATCAAGATCAGGATTCCCTTTTCTCCTTGGAGGAGATGGACAGGGCAGTTAGAAGGGCAAAACAAACATCTCCAGGTAAGGATCAGATATGTTATGCAATGATTAGAAGGCTAGGGATAGAAGCCCGTAAGAAACTGCTGCTATTGTATAATAGAGTTTGGACTGAAGGAAAGGTGCCAGGTGCGTGGAAAGAGGCTGTGATAGTGCCGATAAGGAAGCCTGGTAAGGACCCGTCCAAGCCATGTAGTTATCGGCCAATAGCCCTTACCTCCAACCTCTGTAAAATTATGGAGAGAATGATTGTGGAAAGGTTGTCTTTTGACCTTGAGAGACGAGGAGTTTTAGCTGGTTGTCAGAGTGGCTTTAGGAAAGCGAGAAATACGTGTGACTCTATTATTAGGCTTGAAAATGAGATAAGGAAAGCTCAGGCTTGTAAGGAGGCAGTGCTGGCAGTGTTTTTTGACATTGAAAAAGCCTATGACATGATGTGGAAAGAGGGGTTATTAATCAAACTGCATAGGTTGGGGGTTAGTGCAAGAGCTTTTAACTGGATCCGAGACTTTCTTGATGGGAGGAAAATTGAGGTGCGCATTGGATCAGCTTGCTCCAATCAATATTGTGCTGAAAATGGAACTCCTCAAGGCAGTGTGATAAGTCCTCTACTGTTCATTATTATGATTAATGATGTGTTTGATGCAATGCCTGGGAGTGTGGGTAGATCTTTGTTCGCAGATGATGGGGCGGTATGGAGCAGGGGGAGAAATGTAGATCATCTAATAGGCAAGAGTCAGCGAGCCATTAATGATGTGGTGGAGTGGGGACTAGACTGGGGCTTCAGGTTCTCAGTTGAGAAAACTAAAGTGGTTTTCTTTACAAGGAAGAGAGTGAGGGAAGATCTGAAGTTGAGGTTATACGGTGAAGAGATTGAGAGAGTTAGTGCATTTAAGTTTTTAGGGGTTGTACTGGACTCTCGTTTAACATGGAAGGAACACATAAAACGGATTGAGGAGAAGTCTAGTAAGGTTATAAATGTTATGAGGTGTTTGGCAGGAAGAGACTGGGGAGCCAGCTGCTCCGCACTGAAACGCCTCTATCAGGCCTTGATAAAGTCAGCATTTGACTATGGTTGTGTGGTGTACGGGTCAGCATCCCCATCCATACTGAAGAAACTGGATGTGATACAGGCCCGTGCCTTGAGGCTGTGCTGCGGAGCCTTTAAGACATCTCCGGTGAATGCATTGCAGGTAGAGATGGGGGAGATGCCACTAGATCTGAGAAGGAAGCAGATAATGATGAACTACTGGGTTCATTTACAAAGCCATGGGGATTCTCATCCCACAAAACAGACATTGAGGGACTGCTGGGAATATGGTAAGGCCCAGAGAGATCATTTTGGGAAAGTGGGGGACCAGATGGCTCAGAACTATGGTATTTATGATCTTCAGATTAGTTCTGCTTTAGTGTTTCCTGCAATACCCCCATGGAAGTTGGCGTGCCCAGGAGTAGATTGGCACCTGCTGGACTTGAAGAAGAAGGAAAAAGGGAGGGTTGATCTGGTTGCAGCTTTTGAGTACCACGTATCTCAACTCTACTCAAGTCATATTCACATCTTTACGGATGGGTCAAAGAGTCCAGAATCTGAGGTTACAGGATTCGGAATAGCGGTGCCAGGAAAAGGAGTTGGTATTAACAGACGAACATCTAATGGTTTGAGTGTTTACACAGTGGAGATGGTTGCTATATTAGTGGCGTTAAGGTGGTGGGCAGAGCAAGCTAAAAAGAGTAGGGTTTTAATATGTTCTGATTCAGCGTCTGTGCTTTCTAGTGTCCAGTCTATACAATCACAGGGTCGACAGGATATTTTGTATGAGACTCTATTGACAGTTACTAGAATTCATCAGCAGGGGAACACGGTGCAGTTTCTGTGGGTACCATCACATTCTGGTATTCAAGGTAATGAAGTAGTGGACAGACTGGCAAAGGGTGCACTGAATAAGGCAAGGGTAGAGATGAGTGTGAAAAGTAGCAAGAGTGAAGCAAAGAGTGTGGTGTGGAAACGAATAATTCAGGAATGGCAGACACGTTGGGAGACAGGGACCTCAGGAAGGTATTTTTATCACATACAGAAAGAGGTGAGCGATGGCAGAAGGCAGGGGGGCCATCGGAGGGAAGAAATGGTCATGACTAGGCTTAGATTGGGGCATTGTGCGCTGAATAAAACATTGTGTATCATAGGGAAGCATGAGACGGGGCTCTGTGAGGGATGTGAAGAGCAGGAGGAGTCTGTAGAGCACGTGCTGTTGCACTGCAGGGGATATAGTGAGTGTAGGGAGGTACTGAAACAGAGGCTTAAGGAACTGGGGGTTAAGGAATTTAATTTAAAGAGTATTTTGGGTACTGGAGGGAGTGCGCAAGTGAGGGCATTAGTGACGTTTTTAAAGGAAGCCGGGTTATTCAGCAGAATATAGATATAGTATAGTTAGGTATGTATGAATTTTGGTTAGTTATTTTTATTTGTATTTTGTAGAATTTTTTTTTTTTTTTTTTTTCTCGTTTCTTTTCTTTTACAATTCCCTTGGTGGGACCACAGACTGATAGTCTGTGGGGTTAGAGTGTGAGCCTACTGACCCATCCACGGAACAGAAGGTGGCGGTAATGCGCAAAAATAGGTCGCCAACCGCCGGAAAAAACCTAACAAGAAGAAGAAGGAGAGAGATCATTCATCGCGTAGGCGGCGTGAGGCAGCGTGAGGCTGCCACAATAATAATAATATTTACAGTCTATGGTCACGACTTTGATTTTTTTTTAGATTTTTTATACATTTTATTATGCAAAATTTAATAAAGTGCAATGTTTGAGGAGACTCTGAGGAGCACAGGGACTGGCCTCCTGCTGGGACTCACACAGTATATTGCTTTTTTTAAATAATTAGTTTTAATATTTATTATTTTGATTTTTCATGTCATTTTGTTTTTGCCACTTTGTAATGCAAAACAAAAGAATAAAAAACAGATCCTGCTCCCCCTGGTGGCAGCAGAGGGAGTTACAGGCAGGAAGTGTTTTACCCTTCACTCTTGTTTTACTAAACTTTCAACTCTTATCCTTTATGAAATGACAAAGTAAACAGTGTCATTATCGTTTTTAAAAACAAAAACACTGACAAATAAAAACCAAGAAGAAACCAGAGGCATCAATATTTATTTTATTCACATAAAACCCATTCATAAAAAGACACAAAGTGAATAAAGTTTGTGCTGAAACTGTGACGTACATTTGCATAGTGAGAAAAGTGCATTTAGGGTTTTCAATCACAGGGACCTTTCTGTTCAAGCACAGGGACGGGCCTCTGAGGAGCACAGGGACCTTTCTGTTCAAGCACAGGGACGGGCCTCTGAGGGGCACAGGGACGGGCCTCTGAGGAGCACAGGGACGGGCCTCTGAGGAGCACAGGGACGGGCCTCTGAGGGGCACAGGGATGGGCCTCTAAGGGGCACAGGGATGGGCCTCTGAGGAGCACAGGGACTGGCCTCCTGCTGGGACTCTGAGGAGCACAGGGACTGGCCTCTGAGGGGCACAGGGATGGGCCTCTGAGGAGCACAGGGACTGGCCTCCTGCTGGGACTCTGAGGAGCACAGGGACTGGCCTCCTGCTGAGACTCTGAGGAGCACAGGGACTGGCCTCCTGCTGAGACTCTGAGGAGCACAGGGACGGGCCTCCTGCTGGGACTCTGAGTAGCACAGGGACGGGCCTCCTGCTGGGACTCTGAGTAGCACAGGGACTGGCCTCCTGCTGGGACTCTGAGTAGCACAGGGACTGGCCTCCTGCTGGGACTCTGAGGAGCACAGGGACGGGCCTCCTGCTGGGACTCTGAGGAGCACAGGGACGGGCCTCCTGCTGGGACTCTGAGGAGCACAGGGACGGGCCTCCTGCTGGGACTCTGAGGAGCACAGGGACTGGACTCCTGCTGGGACTCTGAGGAGCACAGGGACGGGCCTCCTGCTGGGACTCTGAGGAGCACAGGGACGGGCCTCCTGCTGGGACTCTGAGGAGCACAGGGACGGGCCTCCTGCTGGGAGCCTCAGTCCTGGATCTATTTTGACTTTTGTTGTGAATATTTTGGGCTTTACAAAAATAAATGGATTTGAACTTTGAACCCAGAAAGGATCCTGTGATTTGAGAAACACCAGGGGTCAGATATGGGGCCATTTCCACAGTTTACAGGGCGCGGCAGCCACACCTGCCTCAAAGGATTGGACACATAAGACAACAGACACCATGGACTGTAAACACACGAGTGACGCTGACCTCTGACCTGTGACCTCTGACCTCTGAACTCTGACCTGTAACCTTTGACCCGTGACCTCTGACCTATGACCTCTGAGAAGGTGAAGTCTTGAATCTAATGTAATAGTCCTGGTCCTCTTGGTGCAGGTCCCAAACCAACATAAATAAACATACCCCATAAGCCACGCCCACTTTTCTAACTCCTGAAGAAAAACTGCAAAACAATAAATTAGTTTGAGCCAAACTTTCACATGTTTTGCATAAACATGAAGTAAAAATAAGACGTAAACAGACGAAGGAGGTAAATTATAAAGGTATAAAAATAGACTTTTACAGAAGGACCCACAAACACAGAACCACAGAGGTGTGGTCCGGGCCAGAACCAGGTCCAACAGATTCAGAGACATTTTCAGGTCTGAGAATCTAAACTCTGAGACATCGTCAGGAAAATAATATTAACGTTTAAAAAAAGCTAGAGCTGGACTCGCTAGAGCAGAGGTGTCAAACTTATTTTGGTTCAGCGCCGAATAAAAGATGAAAGAGCAGATCAGGGGCCGAAAGAATCAGGGTTTCATTTATTAAACTGTTTTATGAAGATATCTGAATAAATGACTTGTTTCACATTCGTTACATTGGATTTTCTTCTCTGATTAGAATTAGTTCAGTTCATGTGATGAACCAAAACTGGACCAAAACTGGGCCAAAACTGGACCAAAACTGGACCAAAACTGAACCAAAACTGGACCAAAACTGAACCAAAACTGAACCAAAACTGAACCAAAACTGAACCAAAACTGGGCCAAAACTGGACCAAAACTGGACCAAAACTGGACCAAAACTGGGCCAAAACTGGGCCAAAACTGGACCAAAACTGGACCAAAACTGGACCAAAACTGGACCAAAACTGGGCCAAAACTGGACCAAAACTGGACCAAAACTGGACCAAAACTGGACCAAAACTGGGCCAAAACTGGGCCAAAACTGGACCAAAACTGGACCAAAACTGGACCAAAACTGGGCCAAAACTGGGCCAAAACTGGACCAAAACTGGGCCAAAACTGGGCCAAAACTGGACCAAAACTGGACCAAAACTGGGCCAAAACTGGGCCAAAACTGGACCAAAACTGGACCAAAACTGGACCAAAACTGGACCAAAACTGGGCCAAAACTGGACCAAAACTGGGCCAAAACTGGGCCAAAACTGGGCCAAATATTGAAGGTATAGGAAGATTATCTACTTCCGGGTGGTTCATCAAGACTATTTTCAATCATAACCATTAATGCTGCTATTTAACATCATCATTTAAAATCATCACAGGGGCCACTGGAACTGGCCCCCGGGCCTTGACTTTGACACCTGTGCGCTAGAGAGAGAAGAGAGACAGTCCCGTCCTGGGTCTGCAGCCTCAGTCCTGGGTCTACAGCCTCAGTCCTGGGTCTACAGCCTCAGTCCTGGGTCTACAGCCTCAGTCCTGGGTCTACAGACTCAGTCCTGGGTCTACAGACTCAGTCCTGGGTCTACAGCCTCAGTCCTGGGTCTACAGACTCAGTCCTGGGTCTACAGCCTCAGTCCTGGGTCTACAGCCTCAGTCCTGGGTCTACAGCCTCAGTCCTGGGTCTACAGCCTCAGTCCTGATGCTGAGAGAGTCCGGCTCAGACCTCGGAGCTGTGGTGACAGTCCTGCAGCCGCACCACCAGCATTGGCTCCGTGCTCACCGACCCCGGGACCCCCCCCGGGACCCCCTCCCTCCAGCCCTCCTTCCCGTCCTCCTGCCTCCACCTCAGCACCAGGACCACCACCACCGCCATCAGAGCCGTTAGCAACACGCCGACCACGGCCCCCACCACCATGACCACGCCGTCCTCCCCCAGGCGCGGGCTCGTCTCTGGCTCCCCTTCGGGTCGTGTTTTGGCGGCGGTCGATCGCCTCCTGCGGCGGTCCAGGGCGACGTGCATGATGTTGGTGCCTCGGCTGTTCTCCGCGCCGATGCCCGCCGCCGGGTCGGGGGTCCGGTCCGGCGCGGGTCCGGTCCGGTCGCCCACAGAGCGTCTGCTGATGTGGTGGGTGTGTGTTTGTGGGGAGTAGATGGAGTGGCGTTCCAGGCTGCGCTTCCCGATGCCTCGGTTGGCGTTCTCTCTGGAGCGCACGGTGTAGACGGCGTGGACGAACCACTCACGACCGGCCGCCACCTGCAGGACAGGTATGAAAATATAACTGTTTAATACTATTATGGTGTGGAGGACCTCCCTGTGGACCTCCCTGTGGACCTCCCTGTGGACCTCCCTGTGGACCTCCCTGTGGACCTCTCTGTGGACCTCCCTGTGGACCTCTCTGTGGACCTCCCTGTGGACCTCCCTGTGGACCTCTCTGTAGACCTCCCTGTGGACCTCCCTGTGGACCTCTCTGTGGACCTCCCTGTGGACCTCCCTGTGGACCTCTCTGTGGACCTCCCTGTGGACCTCTCTGTAGACCTCCCTGTGGACCTCCCTGTGGACCTCTCTGTGGACCTCCCTGTGGACCTCCCTGTGGACCTCTCTGTGGACCTCCCTGTGGACCTCTCTGTGGACCTCTCTGTAGACCTCTCTGTGGACCTCCCTGTGGACCTCCCTGTGGACCTCCCTGTGGACCTCTCTGTGGACCTCCCTGTGGACCTCCCTGTGGACCTCTCTGTGGACTTCCCTGTGGACCTCTCTGTGGCCATCCCTGTGGACCTCCCTGTGGACCTCCCTGTGGACCTCCCTGTGGACCTCTCTGTGGACCTCCCTGTGGACCTCTCTGTGGACTTCCCTGTGGACCTCTCTGTGGCCATCCCTGTGGACCTCCCTGTGGACCTCCCTGTGGACCTCACTGTGGACCTCCCTGTGGACCTCTCTGTGGACCTCTCTGTGGACCTCTCTGTGGACCTCTCTGTGGACCTCCCTGTGGACCTCCCTGTGGACCTCCCTGTGGACATCTCTGTGCACCTCCCTGTGGACCTCTCTGTAGACCTCTCTGTGGACCTCCCTGTGGACCTCTCTGTGGACCTCCCTGTGGACCTCTCTGTGGACCTCTCTGTGGACCTCTCTGTGGACCTCTCTGTGGACCTCTCTGTGGACCTCCCTGTGGACCTCTCTGTGGACCTCTCTGTGGACCTCTCTGTGGACCTCTCTGTAGACCTCTCTGTGGACCTCTCTGTAGACCTCTCTGTGGACCTCTCTGTGGACCTCCCTGTGGACCTCCTTGTGGACCTCTCTGTGGACCTCCCTGTGGACCTCCCTGTGGACCTCCCTGTGGACCTCTCTGTGGACCTTCCTGTGGACCTCTCTGTGGACCTCTCTGTGGACCTCCCTGTGGACCTCTCTGTGGACCTCCCTGTGGACCTCCCTGTGGACCTCTCTCTGTGGACCTCCCTGTGGACCTCCCTGTGCACCTCCCTGTGCACCTCCCTGTGGACCTCTCTGTGGACCTCCCTGTGGACCTCCCTGTGGACCTCCTTGTGGACCTCTCTGTGGACCTCCCTGCGGACCTCTCTGTGGACCTCCCTGTGGACCTCCCTGTGGACCTCTCTGTGGACATCTCTGTGGACCTCCCTGTGGACCTCCCTGTGGACCTCTCTGTGGACCTCCCTGTGGACCTCTCTGTGGACCTCTCTGTGGACCTCCCTGTGGACCTCTCTGTGCACCTCCCTGTGGACCTCTCTGTGGACCTCTCTGTGGACCTTCCTGTGGACCTCCCTGTGGACCTCTCTGTGGACCTCTCTGTAGACCTCCCTGTGGACCTCCCTGTGGACCTCTCTGTGGACCTCCCTGTGGACCTCCCTGTGGACCTCTCTGTGGACCTCCCTGTGGACCTCTCTGTGGACCTCTCTGTGGACCTCCCTGTGGACCTCTCTGTGGACCTCCCTGTGGACCTCTCTGTGGACCTTCCTGTGGACCTCCCTGTGGACCTCTCTGTGGACCTCTCTGTGGACCTCTCTGTGGACCTCTCTGTGGACCTCTCTGTGGACCTTCCTGTGGACCTCCCTGTGGACCTCCCTGTGGACCTCTCTGTGGACCTCCCTGTGGACCTCCCTGTGGACCTCCCTGTGGACCTCTCTGTGGACCTCCCTGTGGACCTCCCTGTGGACCTCTCTGTGGACCTCCCTGTGGACCTCTCTGTAGACCTCTCTGTGGACCTCTCTGTGGACATCTCTGTGGACCTCTCTGTGGACCTCCCTGTGGACCTCTCTGTGGACCTCTCTGTGGACCTCTCTGTGGACCTCCCTGTGGACCTCTCTGTGTTCTGACCTGGAACATGGCGGTGGAGTCCAGCCTGAAGCCGTCAGAACCGGGCTGTCGGACCAGGGCCAGCGCTGACGGGTCGTCCACGGCCAGCACCGCGTTAAAGGGGACGTCCCCAAACACTGAGTCCTGGGTCTCGGGCTGAGCCTGGTCCTGGACACACACAGCTCATCATGTCAAAAATACACTAAAAGTGGTTAAAAAAGCTTTTTACCACATTATTAAACATTGGTATCTGCTGTGGTCCTGGTCCTGGTCCTGGTCCTGGTCCTGGTCCTGGTTTTAAGTCTTTGTTGATGACAATGATTATTAACAAATGTGTGTTTTTTTTCATGTATTAAATTGAAACAATTGTTTCCTGTAATGTTAATACTCGCTCTGTCCACTCTACCTCCGAGACACACACACACACACAGACACACACACACACACACAGACACACACACACACACACACAGACACACAGACAGACACACACACACACACACACAAACACAGACACACAGACACACAGACACACATAGACACACACAGACACACACATACACGTTTTTGTTACCTGGTGGGTCCCTTTGACAGAGCCGTTCAGAATGGGACCCATAGACATAATCTTTTTTTACCAAGACTTTAAGTAATACAAAACAGTCAATAGAAACCAAACAACTATTTTAAAGGAATTTTATTTTAGATTTTGTTTTCGAATTGCAGTGATTCTATTTTTGACATAGAATTTAATGCCACTCCATGTCCGATGTCTAAGGTCATCTGGTGAGGCATTAATGCAGGCCAGGCAGTGAGACTTCCCAGGGACCTTTCCAGTCTGTATGAAAGGTGTCATGGTCTTCTCCACAGCCTTCACCTCAGATGCAGACCATGGCTTTCTTACACGTTCTAGGGAGAGAAATAAAAATATATTAGCAATATACACTCCCAGGGTGAGGACCAAGCAGCCTGGCTGTAATCCCCCACCTGGTACACTTACCAGAAGGGGCACTGCCACTACCATGGGGTGCATCTGGATGAATGGTTGAAGGTTCTCCGCTTGAAGTTTCTTTTAGCCCGTCCGTTTGTGAGAGGATCTCTACTGCTCTCCCTGTCGCACAGAAAATAAAAATACAAGTGGCCTTTAGGGGAAAAAAATCATACATATTTTAATAATATCAAGAATTACCTTCAGGCTCAATTTGTATCTGGTCGAGGCTCTTTCCTTCGAATTCCGTCACTCTTCCCTGCTCCATGGCCATCAACACTTTGCTGATTTTGGCCAGCTCCAGTGTCCCCTCTGGTAGTCTGTAATATTGCCTGTGGATGCGAATGTCATGGCCGAGGAAGTTGGCAAGTATGTCCATCTCATTCTCTTTCATATTGAGAACTGTAGACATAGTAGCTATGTGCTTTCTAAGTTTGGTTGAGGATAGCATCTCTGGATGCACCGCACCACATTCTTTGGCTACCTGGCGTAGGGAGTCTGATCCCCTGATGTGGGTGTCTGCGCCCGGGCGGGAAAAGAAGTATGGGTTATGGTCAGAGATGGAACAGGCCCTTCTGTTCTCCACCAGCACC